CTATCAGATTCTGGGTTGTGCTTTGCGATAACTTTTAATATCCCTTATCTCCTTATAAAGAGAAGCTATTCATAAATAATTTTCAAAGGGTTTAAAGCACAACCCAGTTTAAGGGTGTCCAACCTGTAAGGGCTATGATAAGCTGTCCTTGAAACGGATCTGAACGGCTTCTGCAACAAGGTTACTATAGGCGGACTTAGGTGCCTCTGGGAGCAGGGTGTCGTAAGGCATGGAGGCTTTCTACAGCGGTTTGTATCGGTTGTTTATTATTGGTTTGCTAAGAGCATCGGCAGCGTGCGGAGTAGAGTCTACATTGCGGTTTGGATGAGTGTGTCTTGGAGTCCTGAAAAGTACTGGTGAGTGTTTTAGTGGGGAGCTGTACTGGGATGCTAGGAATAATCAGGCAGTATCAGACTCTGTGTCTGGCTACGGGTGAAGATGTAGGGGCTCGTGCTGTGTTTCAAACGGGTTTGGACTTTCAGGATTTCCTTGATCATAAGGGCTTAGGGTTTAGGGTTTAGGGATGAAAGCATAAATGCCCCTATGTTGCACCCATGCTGGGTGGGCCATGGCTCCCTCAAAGGCTCCCGGGCCCAAGACCTCTGAGGGTTTAGGGTCTCAAGACGTACAGGCATCTTGGGGGTACTTAGAAATACTCTTGTATTTTTTGGTTATTGTAATCCCTAAGAAACAGCTAAAATTGTAATTTGTGCTAGGATTCCAAGTTCGGTATAGTAAGTGTCCCTGTACGGCCTTACGGCCCCCGTTTCTGCTTTCAAGACCCTCAATAACTTGTTTATTGAGGCCCCACATGCTGGAACGATCAGACCCATTCGCTTCTGCGCCCTAAACCCTAAACCCTGAACCCGAAACTCCTAAACCCTAAACCCAGGCCCAAGACCCTTGGCAGACTCAGCTGTGGGTACAATCACGGCTGGTTGTCACGTGGACCTACCTCATGTTCGAGGACCGCTCTGCTACATAGGGGGTATCTTAGGGTTCCTTTAAAGGGTTACTATAGGATTACTATAAGGGCTTCTTGAAAGGGCTCTATAAGGGTTTAGAGTTTCCGAAAATGAGAGACCCCCAATATAGTACCCGAAATAGTAGGATCCTTATTATAAGCACCCCAAGATAAGGTAGCCCTAATTTTCGGAAACTCCCGAGTGGGAGAGCGAGGACTTAATGAACCAGGGGACTTAGTAAGTAAGGTTTTAGGTACCTATATTAGGTTCATGAGCAATCACAGCTATAGCTGTCTGATTTATATGCATAGCAACTAACGACCATGGTCCTTTACAGAGATTGTGTAAGGTTTAGGGGTGCAGCGGTTCAAGGTGGCAGTTTGTTCTGTGGTCCTGTGGTGTTTACAGAATTTAGGGCCAGCATTTCTCGCAACTTGCAGAGACCGCACGTCTACAGTCGTAGGTTTTGTTCGTGCTCTGCCTCACACTGTCTCTTTCTCTCTAGTCGGCTCTCGTGTGCTCTTGCTGTCTGTGTTTCTCGTTCTCTTTCGCTCTCTCTCTCTCTCTATGTCTCTCGCTCTCTCTCTCTCTCTCTCTCTCTCTCTCTCTCTTTCTCTCCCTCTCTTTAAACCTTAAACGCCCAATCCTAAGCCTCCAGCTTGAAATCTGAACATTAATCCCCGGAGCTTACAGTAGAAGCCAGAAAGTTGGAACATCATTAGCCTCATGCTCTTAAAGCAAAGTATAGGGAATCCTAGCACGGATCCTCCTGAATCCATGTTCCAACTTTCTTGGGTTCACTATAAGTTTTCAAACCGCCGCGCATGTGGAAGAAACAAAGCCACTGATACTCTAGAGGTCTGATAGGGTTGTGAGGGTATTTTCTAGGATGACAGGAGCAATATAGGGAACATATCGGAGGGAATGCAAAAGCTACTGTTATCTAGACCCGATATTACACAAGCCTCACACCCCCAAACCCTGAAGCCTATGCCCATATCACACAAACCTAGCACTGCACTGCAGCCAGGGCCTTTCGAATCGCTTCCTCGCCCGGCACATGACCTCGGAAGACTGGGCCACGCACGCCCAGGATGCGGCTCAGGGCTTCTTCAGGGTTGAGGGTTTCGGCTTTTTTGATATAGGATTTAGGGCCTACAGGGTTTATAGGGGTTATATAGAACTTCGGGTTCAGGGTTGCAGGGGTAAGGGTGTCGAAGCTGGAGGCCGAGGTTGAGGTTTGAGGCTGTTGAGAGGTTCAGAGGTTCTCGGCTTCATGGTGGTGGCAGTAGAGTTCTTCAGGTTTGGAGTCATGAGTCTCCCGGAAGACCCATCTTGATCCGGCAAGCCTGTCGCAAAACCAGGAGCAATCGATCACGTACATTTGGGGAGCTGGCTACTTGACCGCAGGGCCCTGGACGAGTTTGTTCGTCTTCCTCGTGCCGAGTATTGTTGTTATTGTTCTTAAAACCGGTATTCTTGGTATTATCGTCATCCTTACCATTGTCATCATCATTAGGGATACTGTAGCCGCTACCATAACCTTCCGGAGCACTTTCATGCATCACCACCGTCTTTCTCATGAGGAGAAACGTCGGTTTGGGGTTTGGGGCCTTGTTTAGGGTTTAGGGCTTGCCTAAACCCCCAAAAGTAGGTAGAATAATGGCCCAGTACCCTTGTATTCTACATACTTTTGGGGTCCAGGTAGGGCTTAGAGCAGGAGTTTGCTAGCAGCGTGCTACTTTTGCTCTACACCGACAGGCTTCCTCCAGCATCCGCAGGGCCGTGTACCTCAAGCTAAAGAGCATGTCTGAACGTCTTTGAAGCTGAAAGCCCCTAGCTAATCTCATCCGCCCGAAGCCAACCGAAAACTCTGAAGTGCTGCGCATGTCAGAAATATCGACGTCTTGGTGGGGCCTCAGGTGTTAGGTACATCTTCTTGCGTGGATCGAACGTTTAGCCTTCATGCTTTATGGGACCCTTCCGTGAGGTCCTAAGTAGAGTTACATATATATATATATATAATCATAAATAAATATATATATATATATATACACACACACTTAGTAGGCCTTCTCAATTTTGCCCCTACCTGCTATCCCACCTATGACCCGACCTGTCGCCTCCCTACAAAAGCCTTTTGATCCTTTCAGAAGATACTTAGAGGACCATGGGACTTAGGGTTCCTTAAAGGGCTCCTGAAAGGGTTTAGGGTTTAGGGATCTATAATAGAAGGGTTCTATAGGGGGTTGTTTAGGTTACTTAGAGGATCATGGGACTTCGTAAGTAGGTTATAATTGGGGTTATAAGTCCCCCAAGTGGGTATATGCTATTTATAACCTACTTACAAACTGACTTACTAACCCGCCTTCAAGTGCTGCACCCCAAAACGTCTGAGGCAATGCTTTGTGGGGCCTGTTGCACCTCGCGTGGTTTGTGAAGCGCACCTTCTGGCCACTGGTCTCTACCTAACCCCCCCCCCCCCAAAAGTAGGCAGAATCATGGCCCAATACCTATAAAGGGCCATTATTCTACATACGTTTGGGGTCCAGGTAAGGATGAGGTTCTCTTGATGATCTTCGGGGTCATTTCGGTGTTACTACTCAGGGCAGAGGTGCTGGGCTTCTTGTGTTGGGACACAGGGGTGAAATCGTGGAGGTAGCCCTAAAAACCATGACCCTAAACCCTACACCCTAAACCGTGGGGCCTGGGGTTAAGCCGGAAACTCTGCAGTTTGATAACCATGCAATGACACCTGCACCTTCAAAACCTGATATGCTGCGTCGTTTCGTCTTGAGGGTTTAGGCTGTTGGGTTAGGCTCGACGCTACAAGAGCCCTATCAAAGCCAAGAAGGGTCTTCAAATGGACTTGCGCCTGATAAACGACCTCGAGATCCTCCCAAAAGATGCTACACTGCTACACTTTCGACAATACGTTCATACCCCGCTCCGTCTTAAACTCTAAGCCAATTCACCTTGCCGAACTTAAATCTCTGGGTAGGCCTTCGGACATTTTACAAGTTCCCTCATTGGGGTTAAGAGGATCTGACTTACGACTATTTTTCAGAGGCTATAGACACAGAGGGCTAACCTATGGCAAAAGCCAGAAAAATGGAACGTCAACATCCTCATGATCTTAAGGTAAAGTATGGGGGATCCTAGCACCCATCCTCCCAAACCCATGTTCCAACTTTCTTTGGTTTACTGTAGATCTCAACAGTGCTTCAGATTAGGGCGCCGCGAGCCAAAGGTTGACTTTTTTGCTTGAGCTCAGCCCTCGAGCGTAAGAATCCCAGGGGGCTTTGATAGGGTTCTGGGGTTTTAAAGCAGGTTTAGGGTTTAGGAAAATTTCGGGATTTAGCTTCAGATTCAGGTAAAATGTAAAGCTGTTGCAACCTAAGCGCCAAAAGCCGTTGCCTGAACATTTTGGTTTCGGATAGTTTAGAGATTAACTTCAGGTAGGTTTAAGCCGTTACAAGCTTAGCCCCGAAGCCGTTGCTTGAAAAACTGCTCCAGGTTCCGGCGCCTCGAGACCGCACGCGAGAATTGGCTGAGCTCCGGCGGGGAGCGGCGCGCAGGGTAGCCCGAGCGGTGAGGAAAAGAAGCCTCGGAGACCCGTAAGGCTCGTACCTATAGTCTCCATTGTAGTTCCTTTTTTTGTTAACCAGTTTTATGGTTGGGATCCTATAAGATGGATTTTGGTTAACCAAAAACAGGAACTACAAGGGACACTATAGGTAGTGTGGAGGCCCTGTGGGGGCCTTAGAATCGTGTTTGGGGTGTAGGGCTTAGAGGGTTTAGGGCCTTAGCAGGCAGAATCGGGTTTTTGGAGTGTCTCCAGGTGATACCATTATATGAGGACGGTGAGCGGATATCGTTTGAAGTTAAAAGGTGTCCACCAACAGTACTTCTGAACCTCAGCCCCTGAACCCCAAACCTTCAACCCTGGTAACCCAAAATCCCGAACCCTAAATCGTAAACCCCAAACACGAAGTGCCCAGAAACCCTCAACTGATCGTGGCACACCTACTGGAGGCTGCCGCCGAGCTCTCCGACATCGCTAGGGCGGAGGAAGAGATGGCCGAAATCGAGGACCTCTTGTTCTTTGTTTTAGGGTTTAGGGGCTTTCGGGTTTGGGGCTACAGGGGCTGCCACTCGCAACATGGTTCGGATCTGCAAGGATGGGCTTACTGTCGAGCGCGTAGAGAATTGGATAGGGCCAAGGTGTGGGTCCATTTTTCAAACCGGCAGAATGTTGATGTAGCTATCACAGCTTTTTGTTCTCAGCCGGCGTGCCGATTTAGGCTCGGAGCTGTTTCGCTTTGTCATATCATACAGTAAGGGTCCTTGCACCCACCTACAACATGCTTTGGCCTTTCGAGGGGTTCCCTGGACACGTATAAGGCCAACGTATTTGCTGTTGTACATACATGGACCAGGGGTATGGTTTCTGTGCCAAGCCGAGCCAGGCCAAGCTGCACCAAAAGACAAGACGCATCGAGGAAACGCATCATAAAGGGCTTTTCAGGCAGTATTCAGAATGTGGGGGTCGCTCTCGAAGGAGTCCTCATATTTAGGATCTTACTCTCGCTTCGCAAAACCCTATCTAAGAGCATTCTTATCATAAGGACCTTCGGTAACCCTCCCGGTTGTCTGAAACTCCCAAATGTCTCAATCCTGTACCCCAAAACCCTGAAATCCCGACCCCTGAAACAGAACCTCCTGAACCCAAGCGAAGCCCCTGCTTTACAGGAGTCGGTACGGTCCATTGCGGACATGGCTGCCTCTCAGCTGAGCAGAGACCCCTAAAGAACCCTTAAGTAAGGACTGCACCGTATAACTGTTACCATATCCCTGACCCCGACCACCCCATAGCTTGAGTTCGGTTTTTAGCACTTTTGGGTGGTGATCTAAGTCTCGAGGTGAGATTTCGCGCGACGGGTCATAGAGGTTGGGGAGCGAGTGGATGTAGCTCCTGGTGCAGGTTTTGGGGCGTCAGGCTTTAAGATGTACTGTAAGGCTTGTGGTAAGTGGCTTTCTGATGTTGCAGGGGTCGACGTGCTCCTCTGCAGGTGAGCAAGAGAGCCTGATACCCCGAACCTTACAGTCAAACCTAGAGCCTGAACGGTAACCCCGTTCAAGGCTTTGTGGTCAAGGCCATTTTCTGATGTGGCCCCCTACTTAGAGGATCATGGGACTTAGTAAGTAGGTTATAATTGGGGTTATAAGTCCCCTAAGTGGGGTTATCCTAATTGTAACCTACTTATAACCTTACTTACTAAGTCCCATGAGCCTTCAGGTAAGTCCTAAACCCTTCATACTTAAAGGGAGCCCTGTCATAGAGCCCTTATAGTACCCTTAAAAGGGACCCCTAAGCCTTACTTACTAAGCCCCATGAGCCTTCAAGTATCAACCCAGCATTTTGGGCCAAGTTCCGACGAGGTTGAGAGCAGAAGAACCCACTTGTTGTTATTATTATCATTATTATTGTTATTATTATCATCATTATTGTTATTATTATTATTATCATTATTACTATTGTTGTTGTTATTATTGTTGTTATTGTCATTATTGTCATTATTGCTATTGTTGTTATTATTGTTAGTATTGTTATTATTGTTATTATTATTGTTGCCATTATTGTTACTATATTATTGCAGCCGTGTGCACCTTTATGGAGGCGCTAAACTCGAAGCCTCGGCGATGAGCCCGAAACCCGACTGTAGAGCCCTTTGAGGGAGCTCATAGATCATAGATCATGGTAACTCTTCCCTTAAACCCTAAACCCATCCTCCGCGTCTGTCGAGGACCCCCTTATGGCGGAACCCCCCGACGGGGAGAGCGAGATGCTGCAGTCGGCCATCGACGAGGCGGCGTTCCTGTGTGCAGGTTTAGAATTTTGGTGCTCCTTTGGAGGGCCACTGGCCACTATGAGGGTTCCTGGAACAGTTACTGTGTACTTGAAGGCTCATGGGACTTAGTAAGTACGGTTAGAATTGGGGTTATAGGTCCCCTAAGTGGGGTTATCCTAATTATATCCTACTTATAACCTTACTTACTAAGTCCCATGAGCCTTGAAGTAGGGGCAGATGGCCTTGAAGGTGAAGCGGGTGTAGCGTAGGGGCGGATCCATTAGTAGTAAGTAGTTTTTTTTTATAATCCCTGCTCAGCTATACTAGGATGCCCAGTAGCACCCTTATTCCCTTTTTGCAGTCCTAGGTTCCTTATGAAGGGGACCCAATACCAAAAAGGGAGGCCTTTTTATTCCTAGGTTTCTGGGCATCCTAGTATAACATGGGGGTGTCCGAAAAGGCGGTACCTTATTTTGGGGTCCTTATAATATAATAAGGATCCTATTATTTAGGGTACCATAAGAAGGGTCCCCTATTTTCGGAAACCCCCATATGTACCCGAAGGCCCTTCACCGCCCCCCATCTTGGAGCTTTCAGGCGGCTTTAGGGTTTAGGGTTTGGGGGTTTAGGGTTTTTGGGATCTGGGAAGAAGTCGATGCCAGCCTAGACCTTCAGAAGACCCGAAGTCAGGGGTTTTGGAGTGCCCGGGTTCAAAAGTAATCCCCAATCCATTAGTCAGACCCCTCAGGCTCTCAACCCTGAAACCTGAATAACCTAGCTTTGTTGGGGTTCCTTATTATACGTTCCTTAAAAAAGTCCTTAAAACGGTAGGTTATTCCGGGTTAAGGTAAACCCTGAACCCCTAGAACCCTTGAAGTAACGTACGTCCTAAAGCACGAAGTCATGAGACCCGAACAATGCGGTGTATAGAACCCTTATATATATATATATATATAGATCTTCCTCAGACCCCCTTGACCGTTTGTATAACTGTTTGTAGCCCTATAGCATATTATCCTAAATTCTTGCAATTGAATATTAAAAGGTTACATACTCTACTATACTGTACTATATCGCATAATCTATTAGCATGTACTTCGATGAGACTGAGGTGGAGACAGCCGCCAAGGAGTGCGAGAAGCGGGTCGCACCAGCTCGCCTTCGCTTCTCGAAGCTCCAACAGGCTGGGGGTTGAATGTAGAGGGTTTCTAGGTTCGTGAGTGGTTCCTTAAAGGGCTCCTCAAAGGGTTCTATCAGGGATCCACGCATCTTTAGGGTCTATTAGGTTCCTGAGTAGTACCCTGAAAGGCTCCTTAAAGGGCTCCTCGAAGGGTTCCATAAGGGATCTATGGGAGTTTAGGGTCTACCAGGTTCCGGAGTAGTGCTCTTTAGCCCTTTTGATTTTCGGGGCGCCTTACCACAACCGAACCGTAGGAAAAAGGGTACCCCGATTGTGCACAGCTGCGCTCAGAGCTTCCCAGCTTTAGGGTTCAGGGCTGTAGGGTTGTAGGGTTGCGGGTAGGTGGGGTTGAGGGTTCAAGGCTTCAGGCTTGTTAATTTAAGTAAAAAGTATAACTTAGAAGCTGCCCCCACCTTGTAATAGTGACTATAAGGATTATATTACGCCCCTATTATATTCCTATTGTACCACTACTGCAGGGTGGGGGCCCCTTCTAAAGTCTAAGTGCAAACCCCAATGCCTTGATAAAGCAACTACCAAGCCTGCCTGTGCTTACTTTTCCTACGACCTCTCCGACTCCTACGACGACGACTGCCACCCAAATCTAGCTACTCTACAGGTTTTGGCTGATGGACACCAAGAAGCCTGAAAAGAAGTTTTAAATAACATCCTACAACGTCCTTCAAATCACCCGCGACCCTAAACCCTAATCCCCCTCCCCCCAACCAAAGCCATCCACAAGATTGCACAGAAGCCCTAAACCCCAAAGCCTAGACCCCCCTAGAAAGCAGTTCGGTATATTACATTCCTGACCCGGAGATCCTAAACAGCCCCCAAGCCCCCGGGCGAGGCTGCGAAGAACCTCCCCTTGGATGTCCGCGCACAGCCTTTGGCCGACACCGTGGCGCTGCACAACCGACTCTCTGAGGTCCTCGCGGTAAGGGCTGCTTTGAGGGTGCCCTTAAGAGTTCCCCTTTTATCCCTTAAGAGATCCTTCACGGATTCCGTGAAGGATTGTTTAGGGGTTCCTGTAACTTAGGGAGTGGAATGTAGGATTTAGGAATCTTGGGCTTATTGTGGGTCTAGGGCGCTCGCAGATGTACGGGTTCCCCTTTAAGAGTTCACTGAAGGGTTCTAGAATCAGTCCGAGAGCTGCTAAACACTAGCTTGTTTTGGGTTTATTTACCTTTGGTTAGTAGGGAATGGAAGAATGGTAGTAATAGTAGTCATAATTGTACCCCATTCCTCCATTCCCTACTAACCAACGGTAAGTTTAAGGTGCTTCTACAGAGATGTTCATCGGCTTCCTCACTGCTTCTGTAGGGCTTTAGTTTCCCCAGATTCTTTTCTACCCGTTTCTTTTGGGGATTCCTTCCGAAAGCTGGATCGTAAGAAGAAGGACTGTGCGAGGCCGCAGGCTCAGGGCTCGCAGACCATCAAGTTTAGCTTCTGATGCAAATTCACCGGAAACGTAGCGTACCTCATGGCTACATTGGGGTGCCTTGAACAAGAAGCGTATCCACCTTCTTGTCACGGCCTTACTGTATCCCTTAGCAGGAGTAGCATGCCTTGTGTCTTCCCGTCTCTTGTCTTATCATGCGGGCCCCTATAGTATTCAAGCAGTTTCGAAACAGCTGCTGCCGAGTCTTTTCCTATGTGTTGCAGCTTGTAAAGGTTCCTCTGTGGATGCGCAAAATTGGAAGAAAGAGCCGCCCCCCAACATGGGACCGCTTCTTTTTAAAGCAGCGCCCAAACGACATCAACCTCTAAAACCTATTGAAGCCAAAAAACTTTCGATTTCCGGACATAAAGCCCCAAACCCCAATGCGAAATGCTTTTATCACAACCCTAATCAACGAAACACGACACGCCACCTCCCCCCCCCCGGAAACTTACCAATGCCCTAAACTCTGGAGTGGAGGCCATGAAGAAGATCCTCCCCTTGAAGACCTTCCGGAAGGACTTCCAGGCACCACGATGGAGTCAGAGAGACAGAAAAAGAGAGAGAGAGAGAGAGAGAGAGAGAGAGAGAGAGAGAGAGAAAGAGAGAAAGAAAGAAAGAAAGAACGAGAGAGACAGAGAGAGAGGGCGAGGGAGGGAGGGAACATGTTTGAGCACATTGTGTTGTTTGAGGAGTGGGTGAGCCTATTCTTGTGTGTGTCAGAGTGTGTGCGTGTGCGTGTGTGTGTGTGTGTAAACTTGTGGGTGGTTTAGCGTTTTGTGCCTTGCGGGTTTGGGGCTTTTAAGGCCTCAGGAGGTGAGCTCACGGCTCAGGAGCGGGGTGTAGGTTTTAGTTCAAGCTAAAATACGAGACCTTAATCGCCTGTCCCAATTGCAAGCCTTAAGCCTGAGCCCAGCCGCATCCTGTTGAACTCAGCATCCCTAAACACGCTGACCCTCTGAGCCCTTCAACAGCCGCTTCAGGAGTTAGGGGCCCAAATAATACCAATGCAATACTATTTTGGGGGTTCCTTGTTATAATTGCAGTACAATGGGCACCACAACCTATTCTCATCATTACGGCCCCTGTACGAAAAAACCCATAGAGACCAGGAGGGCTTTAAAGGAACCCTATTCTAATTCTCAAGGCCCCTAGACATATACCCACAGAAACCTTATAGATCCCTTTATAAGGGACCTTGTTTAGGAACCCTATAGAAACCCTTGTAGAACCCTTTAAGGGTCCCTCTTTAGGAACCCTATAGAAACCCCTATAGAGCCCTTTAAGGGGCCCTTTCGCCCGTTTAAACGAATTGCGAGGAGCGCCTGGCAGCAACCCTAAACCCCAAAACCTTAAACCCTAAAACCTTGAAACCCTAAAACCCTAAAACCCTAAAAACCCTAAAACCCTAAAACCTTAAAACCCTAAACCCTAAAACCCTAAACAGTAAAACCCTGAAACCCTAAAAACCCTAAAGCCCTAAAACCCTAAAACACAAAAAAACCCTCAAGCCCTAAAGCCCTCTAAAACCCTAAAACCCTAAAGCCCTAAACCCTAAAACCCTAAAACCCCAAACCCTTATAGAACCCTTTAAGTGACCCTGTTTAAAGCAACCCTACAGAAACCCTTATAGAACCCTTCAAGGGACCCTTTCGTGCCCCTTTCTTCAACAAGTTCCAGAGGAGCGCCTGGCGGCAGCCCTAAACCCTATAGATCCCTTAAAGGAGCCCTTAAGGATCCCTTATAGATCCCTTTGAAGGAACCCTCCAGGAGCGCCTGGCGGCCAAGCCTTAGACCCTAAAACCCTAAACTCCTATAGATTCCTTAAAGCCTTAAAGGAACCCTTAAGGATCCCTTATAGATCCCTTTAAAGGAACCCTAGAGCCAGGAGCGCCTGGCGGCCAAGAGGTCTTTGGACGCCTTCAGCAAGAAGGTCTCAGAGGCGGAGCTGGAGGCAGCCTCCTTCGGGGCGTTCCTTTTTTTTTTTTTTAACATTTGTTTTTGTTTTCGGTTTTTAGGGTTTTAGATTTTGGGGTTTAGGGTTCCAGGTTTTTAGGGTTCTAAGGTTTAGGGTTTTACGGTTTAGGGTTTAGGGTTGGCGCATGTTTTGAACTGGTCTAGGGCCTTGAGGTTAGGTTGAAGGGGTGTTTGGGGCTTAATTTGAGGGCTGTCCCACACGCCCTGGCAGGATCCTAGGCTTCATTGGAGATTAATCAGGGTCCTCGGGTTTTCTAGGCCCCTATTCGGTTTGGGGCTTGCGGTCTAGTCTTTACATGTCTTGTTGGTTTTCAAAATCACCCTGACTGAAAAAGAGGTTGCCAGTGCCCACAATCCTAAACCCTAAACCCTACAGACCCTAAGCCCGGAAGCCATGGACGCCGCCTTCCGCATCTTCCGCGAGACACCTCAGGGGCTTTGTTTACATGCGGCAGGGCTAGCTCATCCTAGCTCCATGACTCACCCGCACCCGAGTCGGGGACCCCGAAACCAGGGGCTTTGACCGCTTTCTGGACGCCAACGCAACAGCCTCTGGCGGTTTTCTCTTCCAGTTGGGAAAGACGGCGAGATCTTGTTAAGTGGTGCGGGTGTCATGGCTCACATGACGACGTGTGTCAACTCGATCTTTGCTTGGCGTGAGTTCGACTTTCTAAGTGACATCCGCCCGCTGCGAGAACAGAGAGCTCTTGTGGCATCAACAACTCAAAAAGGCATGGGGTTTAGGGTTTAGGGCAGGGCATGGAAATCATATCGGTGTAGAAATTTTCGGGGCGCTTGCTGCAGAGCTCGTAAAGCTCGAACTGGCCTACAATAGTTGCAGCTACGTAAACCCCCCGAAAGTAGGTAGAATAATGGCCCAATACCTATAAACGGCCATTATTCTACACATTTTTGCGTTGCAGCTAGGTCCTTCAGAGCAGCTGAAACCGACGCATGAACTCGAATGATGCGGTTCATAGGGTTTTGGGGACTAGCGATAGCTTCAGCAGTTTTGAAGTAAGCTATGCTACTCTACACCTTGAATGATATAAGCATTAAGGGGTTGATAAGCCATACTACTGTACGCCTTGAATGATATAAAGAGCATTAATTGGCCGAGTTCGGATTGGGATGGAGGTCTTCGCACCAAGTTCCAGGAGTTCGGCGCATATAGAGACCTGTCCGGGTGTCCGGCGTTATATACTTAGAGGATCAGGGGACTTAGTAAGTAGGTTATAATTGGGGTTATAAGTCCCCTAACTGGGGTTACCCTAATTATAACCTACTTATAACCTTACTTACTAAGTCCATGAGCCTTCAAGTAACGTAGGGCCCTGAAGTGAGAATTGGGATATTGTACTATAGTGAATACAAGCAATCTCAAGGCATGGCATAGGAACAGATCTGACCTCTGTTTGGTTAGGTGGAGAAGGTTGCGATGATGCACACCCTGGCCGAGAACGTTCAGATGTGCGAGGAATTGTTGTCTTCAGTTGCTGTGAGAATGCAGCTTAAGGCCTAGGGCTTCCATAAAGAGCTTGGCAAAGAAGCTGTAGAGTTTAGTAGTATTTGAGTACTCTAATTGAACCCCAATGTATGCCCGACCCCTCTCCAGCACCACTCGGCCGCAAGTGCTCAACAAAGTATTTGACACGTACAACCATGGTTCATGTTCTTCGGAGTAGGGACTGCAGGGACTGCAGCGGGTATCCTGAGGCTACGGCCCTTAACCGATCAAGCAAAGCGGGACCGAATCCTTTGGTTCCGGGGGTCGGGATGATCAGTGATGATCTCCCAGGATAGTCCTTAGTGTGCCTTGGCGGTGTCAGTTGCTCACCACAAGGCCGGTAATCCTGACCCTGAACTGAGACATCCCTGCACCCTAAATACTGGGAACACCGCTCTGAAACAAACGTCAAGACCTGAAAGCACATGCTCGAGAACCTTCAACGAAACATGGACTGCAGTCGTATGATGGTGTCAGGTTTCCGAGAAGACAGTAGTATGGTTCCCGTTCCTCTGGGAGTGGCTGTTGATCGGATGCTGGGTGGAAACACAGGTTTTAAGGACAAGCCCCCTCCCCATTTTCATGCCAACGCATCGGTTGCCATGACCCTACATATCGCTACTAACGAACGTTTGAGTCTTTTCCACTCGAGGAGGAGATAACTTCATCCGAGTCCGTCCTGCGTCCTGCTATCCTGTCGCTCGCATCCCGCCTGCATTTGGGGCTTCAGAGTCGTGGAAAAACCATTTAGATTTGGGGTTGGCGGTGGTTGTGTTCGAGTTTCATGCTGTCCGGCTTACAGAACGCTGATCTTTTGGGGATGTGGGACTCCTGCCATTCGGGTTTAAGGCTTCGGGGCTTCGGAATTTCAACAATCTTGCTTCGACAGCGTACTTTGTGCACAATTGGAAGTGAGGGATTTCTCCCCAATCCGTCGAAGGCCCTCCAACCTGCGGGAGACCTTCGCCTGCAAAACCATTTAGTACTTAGAGGATCAGGGGACTTAGTAAGTAGGTTATAATTGGGGTTATAAGTCCCCTAACTGGGGTTACCCTAATTATAACCTACTTATAACCTTACTTACTAAGTCCCATGAGCCTTCAAGTAATCCTTGCATGCGCAACTCTGGCATGTTGCAGCATACTTGAACCCAAGAACTTCAACGGTCAAGGGACCCCTCAGAGAGAACCTAAATATTTTTGGATGCTCTTTGCAAGGAGTCAGCAAGAGGTACACTGATTTTTTGAAAACCCCGCTCGCATGAATGCCGTTTTTCCCGTATTTAGAACTGCCCATGAACCCGTAGAGACAACATAGCCCCGCCCAGGGACACAGGTAGAAACCCTATTGATGTCCGATAGAAACCTTATGGTCCTTTAGGCGGACCCGTAACTCTCGAGTTTACCCCTCTAATCATATCGCCAACCTTCGAAGTCAAAAAGGTGCAGCTCTTGCGCACGGTGGAGCAGAGGCCAGTTGTGCGGTAGCAAGTAGGATATTCAGAAGCCTAAATATTTCTCAGTACTGGTCCTTAGGGCACCTCAATGCCATGACAGTATTCATACCCTATTTAAACTATCAAAACCCATGCATTAGGCAAACGCTTAATGTCGTCCTGATCATCGAACACTTCTGATGCGCCTATAGGATCATTCAAAGGAACCCTATTCCAACCGTTGGTGCCCTTGCAGTATCTAAGGTCGACCCAAAAAGCTTCTCTAGAGCAGGGCTCAAGAAAGGGGCCTTCATAAGAAGAGTATCGTTTGGGTGTGTGGTTACAGTAAACTTATACAGGAGCCATAAGGAGATACCCGAAACTGTAGGCCCTAAGTGCTTACTATTCCGACCCCTATGTCAGAGCATTCGGGCTTGCCGTTCTCATCGAGGGTTTAGGGTTTCGGATGATGGGGTTTAGGGGGCTTAAGGATCAGGTAGGGTTTAGGGTAGAGGGTACCCTTCCGCTACCTAGATGATTGCAGCACGGTTCAAGCATCACTAGACCCTCGAAAGCCATTTGAATTATGTCTTGAGGGTATGTTAAGGGTGTAGGATGGAGGAGTTGGCTCGTTTCAGGCTTCAGGATTTCAGGCTTAGATTTTCTTCTCATCCTCGTACTTGTAGCTGAGTGGTAGGTTTGACTGAGGTGTGTGGGGCCTGTTGAACGGAAGTGGCCACTTTCGTGGAGCTTGGGTTGCGACTTTCATAAGTAGTTTTTCGGCGTGGGCAGCGATGTCAAAGCGCATCGACTTGCTGGCAAACGGGGCTGGTGCTTGAATATCCGCGAGGCAGCTCATCGATATGCTTTAGCCAAGGACCGCTCCCACCCACGGCGCATCCGCCCTATAAGGTGCACCGAACACCCTAAAGCCCCACAAAAATTAACAACAACCGTAAGGCCCTAAAGAGAACTACGTCGTCCAATCCCTTCAATAGGAGCCCCCACAACCCCGTATCGACAGCACGCACTAACGTAACCACCAAGAACAAACGACACAACGTGGCACACTTCGTTCGTATGATCAAGAGAGTTGTTTCGTGCTTAATTTTAAATAAACAAAGTAATGAAAGCACGTTTGTTTTGTTTAAAAACGCACGAAACAACGAGCGAAGCGAGAGGTTCTTCAGCTAGCACCAGTTCTGCTGCGAAGGCTCGCGTCGGCCAAGGGTCCCATGAAGGTCGAGCTGGTGAACATCAAGGAGACAATGGGTTAGGCTTTACTTAGAGGATCAGGGGACTTTGTAGGTAGGTTATATTTGGGGTTGTACGTCCCCTAAGTGGGGTTTATCCTAATTATAACCTACTTATAACCTTACTTACTAAGTCCCATGAGCCTTCAAGTAGGGTGTAGCTTCTGTGGAGCTCACATACCCACGTCCAGCCCCAAAAGACCTTAGCCATAAAGTCTTAATCCTAAGCTGGTTGCGCTTTGCATACTTACTTCCCCCCCACCTTCGTAGCCTAAATCCAGCACCCTCATCCTAAGACCCTAAACCCTAAACCCTAAACCCCAATCCTAAGACCCTAAACCCTAAACCCCAACCCCAAGACCCTAAACCCTAAACCGAGGTCGTTTCACTGCTATGGACCCGAATAGGGTCGGCGCGTTCGGAGAAAGGGCAGTCAACATAGTTAGAAAAGCCCTAAACCGTAACCCTAAGACCCTAAACCCGACACTCAGGGAAGGCTAGCATCGACCATAGAAACTCAGAAAGCCCTGCACTTGAAAGTTTGAGGTTATCTTGGAAGCTTGCAAGGCTTCTTGGGTGTTTTTTGGGTGTTGACTTTGGGTGTTTGTGCGGATTTTGGGGATATGAGATGTTTGTAAGGTTTTTTGGGTTATTTTTAGTGTGTTTTGGGGCTCGGGTTTTGAGCTTTTCGATTTAAAGCCTTTAGGGTTTTAGGGCTCAAGGTTTTAGGGTTTAGGGCTCAGGGTTTAAGGGTCTGAGGCCAGGAAGTCGGAAGATCTTTACCCCCATGCCTTTGAGGTAGAGTGTAGCAGGGAATCCTACGGTTGATGATATAAATCCTGCACTACCTTAAGGACCCTAAACTATGGGAATTATGGTGTATTCCTTATTATGGGTCATGCAGGATTTATGTCATCAACCGTAGTTCGAAGTTGTTTCTACCAACTTTCGGGGGTGCATTACAGCTGCCCGAACCTGTCGAGCGCAGACGCTGTTAGCTACAAACACTAGGCCCTGGACCTTAAACCCTAAACCTGATGAGAAAGGACAAGATCAACGAGCTCAAGCAGAAGGACGGCGGGAAGAACCCCTGGAGCGTTCAAGATGCCAGGGTTCACGTGCATACATACACACTCGTACATTGTGTGTGCATGTATTCATACACTCTGTATGTATGAATGCATCTCTGTCTTTATTAGTGTATGTCTGCATGTATGTTTGCTTTGTTTGTAATGTATGTTTGTACGTATGGGTGTATGTGCGAACTGATGGATGGATAGATGAATGGAAGGATGGATGTGTCTATGTCCTACCTAGCTACCTATCTATATATCTATCCATCCATCCATCCGTGTCCATCCATCCATTCATCCATGCATCCATCCATCCATCCGTCCGTCCATCCATCCATGCATCCATCTATCTAACCTTGTTTGAAGTCTTTTCGGGCCATGCGGCTCGCGGGGGTCAGGGGTTTACATGCTTGAAGGGTTTTGGGGTGAATGGAGTTTGGGTTTCGGACTTTCTGGGGATCAGCGCGCAAATTGCTCACAGGGTTTGTTGAGGATTTTTTAAAATTGGAAGATGCTGAAACCGGAGCCCTAAACCCTGAAACCTGAACCTGGAAAACCATCGGAAAAATCCGATTGGCAAGGGCGCAACGCTTTCGAGAAGCATCGCGCAACAGCAGGCACGCCCATAGACGGTCTGCGGTTCAATACAGGGGTATGCGCAGTATTAGCTATAGTGCCTTGCTTTCACTTGTACCGGTAGCAAAAAGGCCCGAACCCTATTCTAGTACTGATTGGGGCTCGTATTTTATTGGCTTGGGGTGTCTGATCCATGTTGCTCGGGGGCTCACTGCATCTGGAATGTACTTCCCCAAACTAAAACCATGCAAAACAGTGTAAACTCCATCCCAACAAACCAGTAGACACCCAACCCTATTTCCTGCTGAAGCGCTTGAAGCTTCCGGTGGAGCAGGGTGTTGGGCCAGTGTTGGGGGTGTCCGGCATCGGCAGCCGCCCATGATTCAAGGGCTTCGGGATTGGGGTTCTGAGTTAATGAGGTTTAGGGCTCGGGTCTCGAGGTTCTCTATTCCCGAGAAAGAGAGGCCTGGCTTTTGCGTTTCAGGGTTTTGGGTGTCAGGAGTTAGGCTTAGGGTTTGAGGCTTTCTGGTTTTGGTGTGTGTTTAGACCTGAACCCCGATTGCCGGAGGCGTGATCTGACAAAGCCTCGTCCGTAGTCCCAAACCCTCACACATTCCCCTGTGCCCCGACCGTCTTCCCCCCCTAAACTCCAAACCCTAAACCCTGAACCCCCCCAACCCCCCCCACACTGGGCAAGGCCCAGGTAAGAACGGCCAAGGACCCAGAGCTGAAACCTTAAAGCCCCAACGCCTATGCTCAACCTGAAGCCTTGAACCCCTAAAGTCTAAACTTTAAGCTTAAGCCCTAAACCCCTAAACTCTAAACATTAAAACCTTAAGCCCTAAACCCCTAAACTCTAAACATTAAAACCTTAAGCCCTAAACTCCTAAAACCCTAAATCCCCCCAGACAGCTTTAGCTCTCAACCTGCACCGGCTAGAGCCCTTGAACCCTTAGATCTCCGAAGGCCGGCCTTGCCTCACAGAAGGTGCTGAAAGAGGCCGGGGCGTCGGGTTTCGGGTTTTTGGGGGATTTAGGATTCAGGGGTTTAGGGTCTAGGGGTTTCGGGTTCTTGGGGATTTAGGATTCAGGGGTTTAGGGTCTAGGGGTCCAGGGGTTTTTGGTTTTAGGGTTTAGGGGTCTGGGGGTTTAGGGGTTCAGAACTTGGGGTTGCGGGTGTTGGGGTGACTTCGGGTAGTCTCCATTCAGTTTCCTTTGAAGAGTTCTACTGTCCAGTGTATATAACAGATCTCAAACTCCAAAGCTCGACATCGCCCGGAGGCCGCGGAGACTGTGGCGCAGGTGGAGGAGCTGCTCATGATGTGCACAGAGGCCGTCGATCTCGGGAATCTTTCACTCTTTTCAAGTCATGGTTTGTGTGGTTTTTCTGTTGATTCGGGCTTGGCTGTCTTTGCTTTAGGGTTTCCGGGTGCTAACGAGCACTGATGGTCTTGCCGACAGCCTGGAGCCGTAAAAGCCAAAAGGCGTAATCCCCGAAACCCCAACCCCCTGCAGTCGAAGGCCAAACCCGGGTTTAGGGTTTAGGGTTTAGGGGTTTAGGGTTTAGGGTTTAGGGTTTATTAGGGTTTAGGGTTTTGGGTTTAGGGGTTTAGGGAAAACCCAAAACCCCAGCGCCCTTGCTAGGACCCTGAGCCCTGGACCACGAAATGTACGAAATCCTAAAACCCTTAGATCCGAGGGAACTTGAACCAACATAGCCAAAACCTGAACCCCCCAAGCCCAAGTCTTTGACCTATCATTCACCCAATATCCGGAAAAGCGCCCTACTTAGACTTGAACCTTTCAAGCACCAAGAGCACTCCAGGTAGGGCTTGCTATAACCAAGATAGACCTCAGAAAGACCAAATATTTACTTGATACAGCCCTAGCAGAGTTTTTATCATCTGGGGTCAACGCACGAGACCTGTTGCAATGAGCCATAGTGTTGCCCGTAGAGCCGTATAACCCACCACAAGACCCTTTATCACGCCCGCGTAGAATCCTTACCAAAACCTCACAACACCCTTGTCAGAGCCCTTGCACTCGATTACACCCAACAAATACCATCAAGCCCCTACTCCTAAATCCTGAAACCCTGAACCCCTTAGGCCCTAGGCCCTAAACCGCGGACCCTTACCCTGTCAAGCCCCTGTGAGAGCCGCTCGCAGGCAGAGATGCCCTTCTTGAAGGGACTGGAGGTCCTCCCGCCGGAGGAATGCCGGGGGGGGGGCTGTTGGGCTTCGGAGGGTTTGTATCGTATACCCTCTAGAACGTCATTTTTGAAAAAAAAACCCAAAAAGGACAACCCTAATGGGGCTGTTTGGTTTACACAACGGGATTCGATAGGGTTCAGGGGCTTCCTTACTTCCGGGCCTTTGGGATTTAGGGCCTTTTTGCTTCGGCGTTCGGGGTGTTTAAGCTGTTGCGATCTTGGGATCCCAAATGCAGGGCTACAGTGCAGATGGTTTTGGGGTTGGGGCCTCAGGGCTTCGACACTTCTTCAGCTACTATTTGCTTAAGAACCCACCCAAAAAATAAAAAATTATAATCCCTATATTACCCCTATAAGGAATATATTTTTTATTTTTTTGGGTGTTCTTAAGCAAATAGTAGTCAGGGTTTAGGGTTACAGGTTCAGGGCGTAGGGCTTAAGCGGTTAGGGTTTAGGGCTTTAGGGTTTAGGGCTGAGGGTTCAAGGGTTTAGGGTTTCAGGATTCTAGGGATCCTGGGTGTAGAGGTGTTGGAGAGTGTAGGTTTTTGCCTGGACTTAGGGGACTTTCGGTGGTTTAGGATTTATAGGGGTTACTCATGGAAACAAAAATGTATTCATACAACTAAAACAACTGACATATTTTTTTACGAATAATCGTGAACATTGTCGGAATATTCTTTTAAACCAAGATTATGGGTGTTTGTTTGGGGTTTTGGGAGTTTGGGATCTGAGGTCGGTGTAGGCCTTCTTAGGGCAAGTTACGGGTGTTGGGGGTTTTGGTGTCTTGTGATCTACACCGCTGTTTACGGCTTTAGGGATTGAGGGCTTCAAGGTCACTTCAGCGGTTTACCATGGAGGCCTTAATACTTACCAATACAATTTTTTTTTGGAGGAGGTTCCTTATTGTAGATATAGTACAAAGCGCCCCAAAACCTTGTTCTGATTTTTGACGGGCCTATGTTAGGGCTTTCGGGCTAAGGCATTGTTGGGTTTAGCGTTCAGCGCAAGGAGAGGACTTTGCCAAGCCTTTCTGTCAATCGCCGGCCTTCCATTGGAGAATTACGGTTCTCTGGTCTGGGACCATGTCTCTAAACACTGCAGTACAGACCCCAAAACACATACCCCGAAAACTCTCGAAATCTCCCAAAAGCAGCTTTGGCACCCCCAAATCCACAGACGGTGCACAGAGACAGACCTTTGCATTCCTGAGCCGGTGGTCTTTGGTGCAATCCGTTCTTCACAGTGCAGGCGCAGCCTTCTTGTCTGCGGGATTTGACAGCGTAGTTGCTCAAGGCTCCATGGATAGGCAACAGAGATGCAAGCAGTCGAAGTCTTCTCGTGACCGCTGCAGTTCCTTTGCATTCAGATTTGACAGCGCAGTTGGCTGCAGTTCGTTCGCATTCAGAATCGCAAACGGAAGTTTGATGGGGCCATGGAATCTTTCGTGTATACCCCGTCGGGGGTGCTCAAAGAGGTCAAGGCATACTGGGTCAAATCTACTGGCGAGCTGCTTTGGGTTCTGGCTCCTTTCATGACGCTCTACCTTGGCAAAGGTTCCATGAGGCCAGGGTATGGGTTAATCTGCTATTGGTCCCGGTGACAGAAGAGTCATGTCTGATAGTTGTGCTGCAGGCAACCCCTGCAGATCATCGACAAGCAGAAGAAAGCGATCTTGAAAGTCTTTGGCATTCTTTTCCCAGGCGTGACACCCCCGACGGCCTTATGCGCCACCTGGGTGTATATAGTTCATTCTCATGTGTTGGGCCACGGTGCTCATGCTCCGGCAGGGTTGATAGTCTGAAACCCCACGTCATTAGGTCAGGTGTTGTTTGTGGGGGGTTGCCAAGGTTTGTCGCGAAAAGTACAACCGGAAAGCCCGCTTGTGCCCGCAGCTCGTGCCGACAGAGCTGCTGGAGGAGCACATAGAAGAAATTGTGATGCCCACATCAACACTTCTTGCGGTGGTGCATTGGATTTCCTCGAGCAAGCGCAACTCCGAGGGCAGTTGCGAGCGGCTTTGGCAGCATGCGTAATTCGTTACCCAGGCTAGCGCTCACAGCCTCTGCTTCTGGCACACAGTATTTGTCTTAGGATGGCACGGGCACTGCGTGATTGGCTCTACCCTCTGCGCAGCCTCCCACTCGACCAGGTGCATATCATGCAGGCAGGTTGTAAGCCGGTTGGCAGGCTACGGGGTCTTGCTGGCATGGCAGTCTTCGTTTCTGACAGGCCCCGGTATCCTTGGACAGTGGCTGCGTGGACCTGGACAGGATTGCTCAGCAAGTTTGGGTGGCAGAATTCAGGCAATGGTTGGATGTTTTGCACCGGGAGCAGCATCGAGAAGAGCAAGGCCCACTGGTCCGGAGGACAGCTTCATGGCGGAAGTGTGCTGCATTCAGAACAGTTGTCACCTTAAGTAAGTTTGTGCTGGTACATGTTCAAGTGCTCAGGATCGTTTATCTGTGGCAGAGTTGGTGGCCGCACTGCTTCTCCACGGGGGCAATGACTGTTGGAGGGCCGGGACAAGCCTTGCGAAGGATGCAGTGTGCTTCATGGCCACATATGTCCATATCTATGCTGATGGCGGGGCGGCTGCCAGTAGGTCCCATGAGGCTAACAAGCAGATCGACCGCAGCCTATTCCAGCAGGCATGGGAGCTGCTGGCCAGAAAGACGGAAACCACAGTGGAAGCAGCTCTTGATGCTGTTGGCCTTCACCGCACAGCCAGAACTTCGTTCCTTGAGGACGTCGCCGTAGGTAGGCCAGCAGGTTTCTAAGATCTACGATTCACAGGCATCAGATTGCAACCCTTTTGGCAGGAGTTTCGCTGCTGTTATCTGAAGCGGTGCACACAAATTTTCGCCAACAGCCACACTTACACGCAGGCCTGATGCACACAACTGTGGTCTAGATACCATAGCTTGGTCTGGTCCATTCGTTATTGCCACGGCTGCTGAGGTTCTCTTCGATGGCGGGGATGCAGCACGACTCAAAGCCACGTTCTTCGTGATGTGGTGCCCGTCCATGAACCTCATGTGCCATCTTCCCTTCCAAGCCTCCCGGCTGCATCTGTAGATGACGGCGCTCGTCTTGAGACAGAGGCTGCGTGTGAGTAGTGTGTAACTCTCTCACTGATAACGCAGCCGAGGGTCTCGAAACCAAGAGGGCTCTGGTAGGCTTGTCGCGCTACTCGCAATCTGTTTCAAGGCATTGCGGAAGGGTCATCCATGTGAGTTTATAAGCTGTTCCAGATTTCACTCCAGAACTGCACTTATTTATTTCTCACAGAATTGCCATGGCGGAACGTTATTCCGTTGCGTCCAGATTCGATTGGCCAGTCATATTACTTCGCTCGTCGTGGCAAGTGCTGGGCGAGTCGCAAATGCGGCGCAGCTTGCTCTCAAGCGGGAGCTCTGGCGTAGACTCTGACATTTTCTGGTGGGGCAGGAAGCTTCGAAGCCGCCACAACTTTGCTGGCGTGCGCTGCAGAATCTATCTATGGGCCTGCCCCATTCGTTGACCCCGCGATCTGTTTGCGATGCTCCGTTGAGAGTTGGTAAAGTCTGGTAGACATAGAGGATACTATAGACGTAGCTTTGTGTTTCGTTCTCTCTCTCTCTCTCTCTCTCTCTCTCTCTCTCTCTCTCTCTCTCTCTCTCTCTCTCTCTCTCTCTCTCTCTCTCGCTCTCTCCCTCTGTGGCTTCGTGTGGTCCACGGCGTGCTATGGGTTGCCTGCCCCGTGCCCAGGAGATTGATCCCATCATGCGAGACGGACTTGCGGAGCGGCTGCCACAGAGCTGTCATGTTTTTGGAGACGTCATGGATGTCTTTGGCAACGGATCCTGCGTGCATCGTTCCTTGCTGGACATGGACTACGATGAGAAACTGGCTCATGTCTCCGAGCTTCCCCTCTACAGCACAGCCTTCTGCTACAGACACGAGCACCGGTGCCCCATTCAGACAGGCGCAGCAGCCCGTATGGGAGGGGTTCCATGCCAAGATTACAGCCGTGCAGGCGCAGGCGCAGGAGTTGATGGACAGCATTTCCCTACTCCTTGGTTTCAGCCACAAAGCTTCCGTGGCCAACAACTCTGTGATCGGCCTAGAGTGTGTGCCTGGCCTCCCCCGAGAAGTCGCCGTGGACGCTTTCAGGCACGATAGGGTGAACTGGGTTCTGGACGAGATATTACACCCAGAAGATGTAGCATTCGAGCACATTGCGCGGCCTCGGTTGCTTGCCTGCCAAGAGCAGCTGACTTCTGTGCGATTTTGCAGGCAAGTGCTTCGCCGTGTGCTGTTTTATCCCACCTGACTATTGCTGCTGCCTGGGTTTGAGTCGACTGGAGGCTGTACATGGGAGCCGTGAATGAGCGTATGGCCCAGACAATCTATGATCCTGCAGCGCTGCTTGAATACTTCAAGCATTGTGTCAAGAGGGACAGACCGTTGAGGCCAGGCCACAGAAACGTAAAACCGAAGGTTCGTGTCCGGTAGCTGCCTTGTCAACCGCATACGTACTTTGAAGATCCTGGGCCCTGTCCTGGCAGGCCTCGAGATGCATTATGTGGCAGCACCTACGACGTGTATGATGACTGCTTGCGGCTGGCAGCCATCCGCAGGACAAAGGCTGGGTCGGATTTGTCGTTCAGCACTTCCGAGGCTTTGCTTTCCGGGGCTGAAATTCGTTCTCAGTACAATTACTTGCAGCGGTACGAGCACCGTGGGCGAGATCGGCAGTGCTCTTGGGAAGATTTCATTGCACACACCGGTGATTGCCCAGTGGGCGAACGCTCTGGCTGGTGCACTTGGACTGTGGCTAGCCACAAATTGCCCACACTTCGCAAGCACAGTGGGCTCTACTGGGCCTTTGCTGCTGGACGCCACATAGGGATCCGCGAGATGTACACTGCCATGGGTTTCCCAGCCTTTGATTTCCTGTTTCAAAGGCCTTGGATGCCTCACCCACTGCCATACAATTGCTTCCCCGCCAATTTCACATGGCTTGATGCAAAGCGTGCTCTAGGCAATGCCCAGCATGTGGGCTGTGTTGGAGCCTTCATGGGCATCCTGCTGCTGTCTTCTGTAAAGCTAGATCGTCCCACGCCTTTCTTTGCGTATTGAGGTGTGCAAGTGAGATGTCTCTGGACAGCCAAAATAGTCGTGCTTCGCATTCTGCTAGTCTGTCCGAGTGTGTGCAAGGATTTTTATTAGCAGGCTGCATGTGAACTAGGCGTGGCTGCCTGCACTGTGTCAAGAGTCAGCTTGCAAGCTTGGATACACCTTGCATCTAAGCATAGCTTCACCTGTGCAGCACTTGCGACAGCGATGGCCTTCGGTGTGCCGGCAGCCGGGAAACCTCGCCCGGCCGTTCCCCCACCGCCGGCTTCTTTGCTAGGACCTCCGCCTCCGACGCCGAAGCCCGGTTTCCCTGGAGACGATGCGCCTCCGATTCCGAGCCTTGGTGCTAGCAGACCGCCGCCGCCGAAGAAGGCCGGGGCAGGACTCATGTCCTTGTCAGGCCAGTCATATGGCGACTACACCTCTCATCTCCGAGCACAGAAGGCCGGCCCTCCAAAGCCCCCGGCGATTCGTGCTGGGAAGGGCGGTGGTGGTCAGCCGCGAACTCCGACCTCCGACACCCTGAACGCGGCAAACCTCTACTTGATCCCCTTGAAGAACAAGAACACGGAGGTTCTGGCCAAAATTGATGGGACGCAGTTCAATGAGCAGATCCTTGACACGTTGTCGAATGAGGATAGCACCGACGCTCATCCTTGCAACACAGGGTCGGGTAAGTTGGTTGCATTAGCTTCGCGCACAAACATCTGAGGAAATCATCGCGGAGCTCTTGTCCCTGAACCCCGATATGAAGCCTCGGTGCTCGACTAACAGCCGTCCCTGGGTCTGGGTGAGCCAGATCTGAGCACTGTAGTTGGTAGGCTTCCTAGTCTGTAGGGTTGCTTGATATGCGGGGGTCCAGGCAAAGCATACCTCGCCGGCCTCGTGGATGAGTACAAGCGTCGTCTCGGAGATGGTGAGATAGCACCAGGCCACCTTGGCTGAACAGCCGATTGATGGATCGCTCGAGTCATGCCATGTGTTGTCATGTTGTGCTACAACAACGATGCCTGTTCCAGCAGCTGAGTCAATGCGTCGAGATTGATCAAGATTGTGCGGTACCATCGTGCCCAGCGTGACTCGATTTTGGCCACACTTACTCTGTACCACCATCAAGATCGGGCTTGCGTGGCGAGCAACAAGGCGGATGAGTCGCCGCAGTACTTGCCGGAATCCGGCTCACGCTGGATCGATCGTTTTTTTGGGACAGGAGGCTGCCTGACTCAAAGCTTGCACTCCCCTATTCCCATGAGAACCGCTGCAGCCCTGTGGTTTTGAGGTCGAAGCGCGTCTATGTTACCAATGGCATAGAGTCTCTGTACACCGACACGCTGCTCTCGGTCCCAGCCTTCCAGCCACTCGCGGCAGAGCCAGCCGCGGCCTCTCCTAGCGGTCCTAGCACAGGGACGCTGGTCACACATGAATCGCCGACCGGGCTCCCAAGCACTCTCCCCCGGAACAGCCCCAAGGAAGGAGATGCCAGGAGCGAAGCGTCGCTGCTGCTTGATGATGGGATCAAGATAGTGTACACTCCTGAGTCTCAGGCCCTTCTGATCAGGTTTGTGCCAAACCAGCACGCCACACATGAAAGCGTCTATTTGCCCGAGAACGAGGAGCAGGACTACAGAATCCTGTACAATGCATCGACGGGGATACTCTACTCCCCATCTCTTGCATACACAAAACTTGCATCCTGACTGCTTTTCGTAACAGTGCGTTCCATGTCGGGCTGGCCTTTTGCTGCTGCTGTTTCTTTCCAAGGTGGATCAACTGTTTGCTGACCGTCAAGCTGAGATCGAAGCCAGGGAGATCGAGCTCTTGCGGGAGAGGGAGGAAGCCGTCCACCAGGAGCAACTAGCGAGGGAGGAAGCCCAGCGCATGGAAAGGGAGGCCGAGGAACAGCGAAAACGAGATGCAGACGCAGCCGAGGAATCCCGCCGACAGGAGGAGATGAATGCACGCATCGCACAGCAAGCCAAGGAGCAGGCTGAGAAGATGATGGCAGAGGAGCGGATGAAGATGCGAGCAGAAATCGAACGAGAGGTTTTGGCCAAGAGCAGCCCACCGAGCAAGAGGCACAAGGTGGCGCCGACGTTGAGCGAGGAAGCCCAGGCATGCAGTAAGCTGTCCTTGTAGCCTTGTAGGGCTTCTGCTGCTGGCCATGGCAGGCATCCCAAACGCCTGCAGCGCACCGTGATGCCTCTGTGGACGTGGAGACTGCTCAGGCTACATGTAGGCTGTAAGGGGACTTGCTAGAAGTGTTTAACGCACGGGTTTTTATTAGGGTTTGTGGAATAGAGATTGGGGCGTGGGTTTGGGTGGCCGAGCGTTCCGGGCTTCTGCTTTGGAATTTGGGGTTGAGAAAACGAGGGCGGGTCCTGACGGTTTCATCTGGGTCCAGGGTTTGGGTGGGTCGTGGATTGTTATTTACGGTGTAGGTGTTGCTTTTTTTTTTGGGGTAGCTTGGTAGGTTTTGCTTCGGGGATACATTCTAGGTGTTGCTTCTCTGGGCATAATGTTTGGCTTGGCAGGCTCCGCTTCGGGCGCTTATCGGGGTATACATTTTTTGTCTGGCAGCATGCTTCATGCAAACAGTTGCGAATGCTACACGAGGACGACTCCTGTTCATGCTTGAGCTTTGGCACCCCTCAGCATCCAACTAGGCTCACATCACACCAGGAAATCACAGCTTTCTCAGTGATCCTTTTGGGTTGCGGCCTGCCCTTTAACATTGTTTAAGAAGCTGCTCGCAGGACAACATGGACTCCACCCTGACTGCACCTGAAGCCTCAAAACTTCCAGTAAACTCCTGAAATGATGGTGAGAAACCACAAGATTCCATCCGACGTGATCCATTGCAGAGGCTCGCGGCGCCGGCAACGGCGGTGAGGTGAACGTGGTCGATTGATTCGGCGGCACAGAGGCAGCGTTTTGGAGATCAGCAGGCTCAGCGCTTCAAGTCAGTTTGGAAGGCCTCATCGCACCCCGCTTTCACAGCCCCCCAACCCACATTCAGCGGGTTGGGTGGGTGGGTGTTTGGGTGGGTGCATGGGGTGGGTGGGCGGGGTGGGGACGAAATTTTGGGGTATTACTTCTCCTCCTTTATACTGCTGGCTACAAGAAGCACGGCAGGAAGCAAGAAGGGAGAAGTACACCCAAAATCGTGCCATCCTCCCCCACCCCCCCCCACGCCCACCCCCCACCCCCCACCCCCCACCCCCCACCCCCACCCCCCACCTGGTGCCCCCCCTTGTGAGTTCCGGCCCAAGCCCACCCAACCCCCCCTCCCTTATTTTGAGGGGGTTGGGTTGCCTCTTTTTTGCTTCCAACACCGTGGGCAAAAGCGAGGCAGGGGAACAAAGTGCCCCATCACTCCACCACAAAGAAAACCTCCGAACCCAGCCAGGTGTTAGACAGCAACTTTCAATCAGCACCCCCAAAATAGCACCCCAAATCTGCTGTGTTAGACAGCAACTTTCAATCAGCGCCCCCAATTAGCACCCGAAATCTGCGGTGTTAGACAGCAACTTTCAATCAGCGCCCCCAAAATAAATTGCACCCCAAATCTGCGGTGTTAGACAGCAACTTTCAATCAGCGCCCCCAAAATAAATAGCACCCCAAATCTGCGGTGTTAGACAGCAACTTTCAATCAGCGCCCCCAAAATAAACAGCACCCCAAATCTGCTGTGTTAGACAGCAACTTTCAATCAGCGCCCCCAATTAGCACCCGTAATCTGCGGTGTTAGACAGCAACTTTCAATCAGCGCCCCCAATTAGCACCCGAAATCTGCAGTGTTAGACAGCAACTTTCAATCAGCGCCCCCAATTAGCACCCGAAATCTGCGGTGTTAGACAGCAACTTTCAATCAGCACCCCCAATTAGCACCCCAAATCTGCTGTGTTAGACAGCAACTTTCAATCAGCACCCCCAATTAGCACCCCAAATCTGCTGTGTTAGACAGCACTCGCCTGTAGGTTCAGGTTTGTTATGCACTGGCTAGAACGTGTGCTGACATCGACCATATGAGCCTGGTCCTGGTGCATCTCGCTGCGTGCCCGCGTTTCTGAGCTGTGGAGTTGCTGTTGGCGAGGCGGGCCGTTGGATCGTGATATGTACAGTGAATGACAGCTTATGCCTAGCCGTGGCCGTTCGATGCAAACTTCACAGCTCCGTGCGACCTCCACGTCAAGGGTCTCCAAAAGTGTTCTCTGCTCTAGCGCCCTGGAAGAGCTGTTGTCGCATCTTCATTGGCATATAGTATCATAGGCGACTGATTTGTTGCTGCTTCGACCTGCGGGTGGAGGGTGCCGACTGAACTCCCGTGCGAGAGCTTGGCGGCAGCTCGTTTCTGCAAAGCACCGAGACCCTGTGCAATCCCAGAACCGCGCCCTCAGCAGTCCTAGCAGCTTCCAGTACTTTATTGCTCGCTGCCGCACTCTCTCTTCGTGGGCCTTGCTTTACGAGGTTTGAGCGCAACTCAGAAAAGGATTCACACTCACAGACTTGCGCGTGTGTGGTGGTAGAGCATAGACCGAGATGCGCTGTGGATCCTGACAATGTCTCAAGTCCTGTGCAGCCGAGGTGAACCATTTGGGTACTGTGCGTTTTTTCTTCGGCAAAGATCCTGGCACGACGGCCGAAGAGAGGGAGGACATAGAAGAATTGATTCTCGCGCAGGACGTGGCTGCGACCTAGCAGCACTGGGCCCTCCCTTATCTTCTTGCAAGCCTAATGATGCCTCTGCAACGATGAAGCACATGGCCCGTCTGTCCCGTGCTTCATGTACAGCCGAGGACCTCGAGCGCCGTGAAGTGATACCCCTGGGTTCCTTGCAGAAGCTGCGCAAAAACAGCAAGCGGGTAAAGAGCGAGTTCGTGAAACCCATCACTCAGCTGGAGAATGCTCTGCAAACCATTGGCATTCCGCTTGACAACTTCTCTGCTTCACTACAAGTGCCCGGGGACCGCGACCTGGAACATCTCACCACGTTGCCGGTGATCACCTTGACAACGGACGAGGACAAGAAGCAGTCCCGTCCTCGGAAGGTCTATGGTAGCTAATTGCAGCAGTCACCCGTACACCTGGCCATGCATGTCTGTGCATAGCCTGCAGGGCACTATCCTAGGATGAAGGCAATACGAGCCCTCCTCTATGGTCCGGGCACGCAGATGCGCTTGCTCCACAAGAGGGACGAGCACCATCGTGTCCACAACGACGCGATGGTGGGACCCAAACAAGCCCGACTGTGGGGACCCTTGCCAAGAAACTGTGATTACCTTGACGGCGATCGTAACTGTCATAACTGATCTTGCACCTGCTCGAGCTGGCTCCTCCAGGAAGGTAGGTGCTTCCTATGTCACTCAGGCGTGGTTGCATGCTGCAGACTCGTCATGTCCTTTGCACGCAAGCCCTTCGACTCCTACGAGTTTGGCGAGCAGCTTGCAGATCTTGCCCGGAGCTACCTGCAGGTCTTCGGCCCTGCGTCAGAAGAGCTATCGGCTCAGCTGGAGCATTGTAGGCTGTAGGCTTGAAGAATCTGAGAGAAGGAGGAAGAAGAGGAGAATATGTTGTAAATTGCGTTTCTCCTCATGAACAAGCCGGGGCAGAACTCTGCGAAATGCAACAAAGCTGCCGGCTGCATTCAATCAACCGCCCTTAAATCCACGGAGTCGCAGGGCTCGCCTGAAGGGTATAGGGGAATGTGGCACGGGGAGGACTTCTGGTCACTGGGAATGTTTGTACGTGCAAAGCAAAGACCAGAATTCCCAGGTTGACTGTTCAGTGCTTTCCCTGCCCAGTTGTCCCATCTCCCAATGTGTGGTGCAGGTGAGTGCTAGTTTGCAGCTGCCGTGCACAGTGTTAGTAACCATCTTGACGCTGTCTGGTCTGGTCGGACCGCGTGCAACCTACGTTGAGCTCGCAGCTGTTCGTCTTTCTCGTTGCGTGCTGTGGCCTGTGCTGTGTCTCGTAAGGAACGTTTGCCAAGAGATTGCCGACAGGAGCGATGTGGACGTGTTGTTGCCTTGCGTTGTCTGAGGTTCAATGAGGATCTTGAGGAAATGAAGTACGACATGAACCTCCCAGCTTCTGCTTCCAGCGCAGAGGTTCACGAGGCATGCCTCACCAATATCAGGTTCTGGAGTACGACCGAGGTGCCGGGAGCAAGCTGTGTGTCTACCGTGGATAAGTTTTATGTCCGTGCGCGCAAGCTTCACTTGTAGGTGGGTAGGTACAGCGGATTGGGCAGCCCTGCCTGCCAGGTGCTGTTGTCACGATGGTTCCATTGGCACGTGGCGTTTCGAAAATTCGCCAGAGCCTGGACCTTCTTAAGGAAGCTCCACACTTGGCGACAAAGCCTTCAGGGTGAGAGCGGCGAACAGGACGTGGCATGCAAGCTGCCAAGTGCTCTGCTTGACATTGCCTTAGAACTCTGCCAAGAACACTCGCTTGAGGAGTCAGCAGCGGATCCTCCACGCGTAAACTTGGCCGACAGCGAGAGCATCAAGCAAGACTTGTTGCAAAAGTTGGCTGACCTCCAGAGCAGGAAAGGCTACATGGACGTCACGGCAGATGTTCTCAGGGAGACCGGCGTGAAGGACTTGGCTTGGCAGAGCCGACCCCCTCGAAAGCAAGCCCCATCACCAAGCGCATTTAGTGCCCAACTCCTTGCATGTCCAGGATATATTTCGTCCAGAAGCCGCGCTACCTGAGCCACCTCAAGATCATGGAGTGCATGAAGACTCGCCAGGACAACCTGCAAATGCAAGCATCCTGGAGCAATCGCGGCTGGGCGGATGAGGTGTTAGCCACTTTGGAACTCCTGGAAGACCCCGAGGTGTTTGTCCGTTTGCGCATCGACTCTGGAGAAACTTCAAGCACTGCTGGTGCAGAGGCATTGGCTGATCTGTTCGTGCGTATGGTGGTCATGCAGGCCTCACAGCGATGTTGGTCGATGAGCGTTTGGTCTGAAGTGCCACCGTTGCAGTGGGCTGGCATCTTGGACAGCGATGAGGAGGCTGCTGAAAAAGCCTTTGCTCAGATGCGCAAGGATGCCGAGGTGGTGCAGGCAGCCCTACGAGCAGCCAGAGACAGTGCAGGGGATCGGGAGGCAGGGCAGACCCACACCGTGATGTGTGTGAGGGGTGCGGGCAGTCATGAGCGCAGGCCTGTAGCCATAAACCTTTTTGTTTTTGTTGCTCTTGAGGCTGTGCACGCTGTGCTGTCAGAGCTGTGGGTGCACAAGCAACTCGCCGTGCAGGCTCCGACCGTTCTCTAATAGCTGGCTGCGCATTTGTGCATTGGCTAGTAGCTCCTTGCTTTGGTAGGAGCTCTGGCACCACGGACAGTCGAAGAAGTGGGACATTCGCTCAGTCTGGAGCCATGTCTACTCTCTCTTCGATGGGCCAGTCAGCACCAAAGAATGCCTGGAAGACGTGTTTTCAGAGCTGAGTCACATGTCCAAAAGCTTGCATAAAGACGCTGGAAGGGCCTCGCCTGAAAGGCTGTTCACTCACAGCCTCTTGGCAAACCGCCTTGATGAGGAAGCGTGGCCCAGAGCGGCGCTGGAGCAGAGTGATATGACATCAAAGTCTTTCCAGACGTACAAGAAGACCCGGCAAGTTTTCATCCCCAGGAAAACAAGCCAGACGGAAACTGGACAGAAGATGCTGGAGCTGGCAGGACTCGAAGCTTGCTAGTCTGCTCATGTTTGCCTGCTTTTTTGGCCTTGGGCCTTGAGCCTCGTGTGTTGCCGGCGAGGAGAGAAAGTCAGGTCGTGGAAAGCTGCCGGACAGCCGGCAGACTTTCGTTCCGTCGCTGCCATGATCATGCTGCGAAGCCAGCATCAGCAGGGTGCAGACTTTGGGGACCTTGGAGGCTTATGGCCGTCGGTCTTGGTGCAGCTGGGGCAAATTGTGCTCCAGAAGAAGAGCGGCACCTTCCACCTTTCGCTAGGATGCCACTACAATGCCATCTACTTGTGGGAGGTCTCCACGAGCAATGACGTCTTCGTTCTGAGCGGTCGCAAGGATGCCATTCAGCAGCTGCAGGCATCAACAATTGGGTACGTGGCGGGCACAAAAGATGACGAGAAGAACGAGGAGCTCGCGGTGGTTCCGACTTGCGTGTGTGTCTTTGGCTGCAGTAGTCGTCCCTGCGCACCGATCTTTCCTTTCATTTCTGCCTGGTTTTGCCTATTCCTCTCAGGCCTGCCATCCGATGTTGCTGCTCAGGGACCAGGCACCAAGGCCATCGGTTTGAGACGAAATGGCGACAACGTGGGCCTGGTGCGGTACATGCTGAAGTATGGGAGCCTGGACGCCCAGGTCAAGGCCATTCTGCCCCAACTGTGTGTGATATGCAAGCTTCGCCCAACTCCGTGGGAAGAGCAGAAGGTGGGTGTGCAATCACGTGTGCCACTGATCTGAGTTTAGAGTGCCGTGGTGCTATGTGCATGTTTGGAAACATCGAATTATCTTTCAGCTGTTGGCTCAGGATGGCATTGCTGCAGCACTTCTTTGCGGATGTGGAAGATGAAGAGCGTGTGCGAATGGCACAGAGATTGCTGGGGAAGCTGAAAGCACCAGCAAGTCCTGGAGATTTCACTCAGTTGAAATCGTTGCTTCCGTGCTTACGCTTACTTGCCGAGGAACCGGATGCCAAAGCTTTCGAGGATTTGAGCGTGCAGGTTGAGGATCATCATCGACAAGAGGCCATCGTCAAGCGATTCGGTCTCAGTCGAGCCGCGGCAGAGAATGCCACGCCAGTGGCAATAAAGCTGCTGAAGCCCAAAGTCAAAGGGTGCACCATCGTCTGGCAGGCGACGGAAACTACGTTTTCCGGGTCATACCCGAAGCCCATCAAGCTTACGAAGACTGGCAAGCAGAGTAAGGCCAAGGCTCAAGAGCATGGTACACGGCGAAGCTACGGTGGTGGCAAATGGACCCAGCTGCAAGCGTTGCTCAAAGTGGTCAATCGCCTGTGGGAACTTCACAAGACGTATGGTGGGGCCACTTGTCATAGTTGTCGTGTACAGCCCAGGGACTGATTGATTAGGATTCGGATTTCAACTTCTTGCGTTTCTTGATGCTGTCCCTGGTCCCATTCGCAGGACTGCAGTGATCAGACCTCTCGCGATGCTGTTCAGAAGGCGCTGGCGGACGCTGTCCAAGAGATGGACGGCGAACCTGCGCCAGATGTGCCCCCGGACGGGCCGCATCCAGCAGAGGAGATGGACGGCGAAGCTGCTGCTGCCGACGCAGCTCCAGGAGCCATGGACAACCCGGCAGAAGTGTTACCAAGCGATCCGAACATGGACGGCTTCATGTTTGATCCCAATGATCCCACGGAGATGGTTCCTGAAGGTGATGGTGAAGGAAATGCTGGCGTGGAGGCTGATGCCAGGGCAGCAAGTGACAGCAGCAGTAACAGCAGCAGTGACTCTGACAGTCCCTCATCATCTGCGGCTTCAGACTTTTCCGGTGATGACAAAGATGCAGGCAAATCTTCCACACGTGCTGTCACTTCGACGCCCAAGCAGAAATCTACGCCAACAACACGTGGTCGGGGATCCAAGTCTGAAGCCCAGACGCTCAAGGCCAAAAACAAAGCTAAAGCCAAACCAGTGGCCAAGAAAAAAGCTGCAGCTGCTGACCCCAGCCGCAGGAAAGGGAAAGTGGACACAGGTGTTGCTCCATCCAAAGGATCCGCAGCGCCGCCTTCCAGTTCCAGCAACATGAGGAGACCTCCGCCCGAGCCTGCCAGTTCCAGCAACAGGAGGAAACCTGTGCCTCTAGATACGAGTTTCCAGGCTGTGTCAGCATGTTTTGCTGTAGTTCTGGAAGACTTGAATAAGCGTTCATAGGCCCCTGCTGTTTGTTCCCGCTGCAGGTGGAGTGGTTCCCAAAGTGCATCCCTACTATCTGCCAGTGCCGCCCACAAAGCGTGCCAAAGGCACGCATTGAGTCGCTCAACTTGCGAGGGCAAAAAAGAGTTCACATGCCCAGTCAGAAGCACGAGTGCCAAGCTTTGGTGAGGCTGTTGGTGCAATGGCTAATTAGCGCTCAGTTGATGGCTAATTAGTAGGCTATTAGACACAGGTTTTGGGGTATGGGTTTAAGGGTCTGTACTTAGATGTTTAGAATGTCCGTGGAACCCTAAATCCCTTATAGGGTCCCTTAAAGGAACCTTAAATCCCAGGAAGGATTCATTACTTAGAGGATCATGGGACTTAGTAAGTAGGTTATAACTGGGGTTATAAGTCCCCTAAGTGGGGTTATCCTAATTATAACGTACGTATAACCTTACCTACTAGGTCCCATGAGCCTTCAAGTAAAGGAGGCGAACCCTCACCAGGAGTCGGCCGCAGCGGCGGCCGAGTGCGCTTCTGCTGCAGCGAAGACCGAGGTCGAAGCTCGAAAGGCCTGGAGGGTCTAGGTTTTTTAAACAACTTGTTTTAAACAAACATAAAGGCCTGGAGGGTCCTTTCTTTAAGGGGGGTCGGTGGTGGAAGGTTTAATGGGAGTGTTTCGGAGTTTAGGGTTTAGGGGTTTAGGGGTTTGGGGTTTAGGGGTTTGGGGTTTAGGGCTAGGATATTGGATTTAGGGCTTTGGGGGTGAAGGGTCGCTGTAAGGGTTCCTTTTCGGGCTTAATCGGCTTGTTGCTAGAGTCACTCGAAATTACTATGGATTATATTCGGGTTTCACACGGCAGGTCTCTGCGTTTGAGGGCTTCCCTTAAGGGGTATTGCAAGGATTTCTCTATACAAGAGGTATTGAAGCTTTGGAGTGTGTTTTCTTGCTTTTCAAAAGGGAGTTGTAGTAGTCTTCTTGGGGTACTGATGTCAACAACAAGGCTTTATGGACGTGACGGCTGAAGGGGCGGCTTAATACAGAAGCCGGAGTTTGTAGCAATGCCTCGTCTTCGGGCCGAGGGTTCCTGATGGTTCTTTCTAAGACATTTACAGGTGGGTAGTTTCCCATAAGCCTCCCATACCACTCCTATAAGGTAAAGGGGGTCTTATGGGAGTACTATATGGAAGAGGAACTACCTACCTGTAAGGGGCTTCTATTCTTGTACTGAAGCCACCCCGAACCACACAACTATCAAGGCCCCTTCGTAAATTGGTCAGGGGTTGAAACCCTAAACCCTAATTAGCCTAAGCCCTAAACCGCCATGGATGCTTTTCCTTTCGTCGTCATGGGGGGTCACTCGAGTTATGGGAGATTCAGCTGTACGTCTTTCGTTCGGGCTCCTGGCAGGTCAGAGCTTTGGGCTTTTTGGGTTTGGAGATTTGACCATCAGGGATCAAAGTTGTGTGGAGGCAGACATTCTGGGCCTCAGGACCCCCGATGCAGAGCCTCGAATCCGATATTCTATGTGGTTGTACTAATGTGGTTGTACTAGTTAGCTATACGGCACCCATAAAGCTCTTTCAAAATCCCATGAAGCCCAGATGCCTCGCAGCTCTTGGGATTTTAAGGTCAGGCCCTAGACACCTAAAGCCAAGACGCTCCGATGGCTGAGGTTGTACGCTTTAGGGCTCGAGGTTGGCGTTTACGATTTAAGGGCTCATGGGGCGTAATGTAGGACCCTGATTAAGAAACCCTGGCCCTATAGCCCCAAAATAGTAGGGCTCATAGAAGGAACCCAAATAAAGGCCCACGGTTTCTTAATCAGGTTCCTACATTAGGGCCTATAGGGTTGTTATGGTTTTCTATTTCCGGGCTATCTCCTCAGGAATCTCCGGCATTTCCAAGCGAGTGAGGATTTGGGTTCTTTTTTGAATGTCGCAGAAAGCCGAGGTTCCCAAAAGGCCCCCGAATTCGCCCCAACCGCACAGCCCAAGACCGTATCCTAAACCCTAAACCCTAAACCCTAAACCCTAAACCGCCTCATAAGTTTATAGGCCCAAGAGGCCCAGGTCTGATAACCCTGAACGGTTTAGGGTTCATAAATGGGAGTTTCCGAAAATTAGGGGGGTACCTTATTTAGGGGTCCTTATAATAAGGATCCTACTATTTAGGGTACTATATTAGGGTCCCCTATTTGCGGACACCCTCAAATGATAACAGCCTCCTCTGGCAGGCCTCTGCGTTTTTGAACACGAAGATGAACGAGGCGAGGTGATTTGCGAGGGAGGGTTTCAGGGCTGCGCTGGCAGAGGTTTAGAGTTTAGGGGTTTAGGGGTTTAGGGTTTAGGGGTTTAGAGTTTAGGGGTTTAGGGTTTAGGGGTTTAGGGTTTAGGGGTTTAGGGTTTAGGGGTTTAGAGTTTAGGGGTTTAGGTTTAGGGGTTTAGGGTTTAGGGGGGTTTAGGGTTTAGGGTAGGGAGCCCGAATTCGAGGACTTTAGAAGTTGGTGGCGTTGCATCTCATCGTTTATAAACTTAGGCTTTTTTGTGTTTTGCATTGCGGCTCTGTCGTTCTCTAGACTTTGTAGAGTAGGGTTTCTGTTTGGTGTATGTAGGGCCGGTAGGGATTATTAAAGTGTATATGGAGGTGCCGCTATGCAAGCAAGTTTGTGATAAGACCCCGAACTCAGATAGACACTACTAAACCCTAAACCCTAAACCCTAAACCCTAAACCCCTAAATCCTTAAACCCTAAATCCTAAACCCTAAACCCTAAACCCTAAATCCCTAAATCCCTAAATCCCTAACCACCCCTAAACCCCTAAAATCCCTAAGCACCCCTAAGCCCTAAACCGTCACTACACCCGTAAAGCTCCGACAGCCCGAAAGCCGAACACCGAGATGGAGTTCGGACATGCTGGCTCTTTTTATCTTAGGGGATACTTAGAAATATTTTTTAATTTTGGGAATTATCCCTAAGAAACAGCTAAAGTTGTAATTTTTCCTAGGGCTCTAAGTTCAGTATTGTTACAACAGGAGGCATGTGAGAGCCTTTGAGATTTAGGGCTCCGGGGGGAGCCCCAACCCGAACCCAGGAGGAGATATTCCTCGCAAAGTTCCCTGAGCTTCGCAAGTAGTTTGAGGATCTTAGGGTTCCTTAAAGGGCTCCTTAAAGGGTTTATAGGGTTTAGGGATCAATAATATAAGGGTTCTATAAGGGGTAGTTTAGGTTACTTAGAGGATCATGGGACTTAGTAAGTAGGTTATAGTTGGGGTTATAGGTCCCCTAAGTCCCTAAGTGGGGCTATCTTAATTATAACCTACTCATAACCTTACGTACTAAGTCCCATGAGCCTTCAAGTAGTTATCAGGGGTACTTCAACTAAGGTAACAGAAGTTTTAGTTTGACCCATATTCGTTGTAAGGACAAATCGGTTTGGCAATTTTTCCCAACCCTGCACCAACCCGAAGTAAGCCAGACATCGCCCCTTTCACAGCAACTCCAACACGAAACCTAAAATCTTAACCCCAGTACCCATGTGCACACGATTAATCGGAAAGTATCCCGCTGCTCTTAACCCAAAGCGCCGGATGCTGAACCGAACGTCACAGGAAGCCGAAAGCGGGCTTAACAGATGGGGTCTTAGAGCGGAATGGGGTGTCTGTGTATGCAGTTCCTTTTTTCGAGGAGAGGTAGGGGGTCGCATTAAGAGGCTTGGGCCATGCCTAACGCCATCTACCCAACGCAAGAAAAATTGTGACCCTGCACCCTGAACAAGCCCAAGACCCTAAACCTAACCTTCTCTGGCTTTCAAAGCCGACTTTCAGAAGCCACTCTAGGCCCTTATTCCCTACTCCTGCAAAGCCCGATTAAAAAAACACACACACACAACAAAAGAGAACAAGCAACACTACACAATAGTATTAGTAGCATTACTATTATAGTATTCTTATTATAGCGTTATTACTATAGTATTCTTATTATAGTATTCTTGTATAGTATTATGGGTTTATAACAACAAGCAATGGCCGACACCGCAGGTGAAGCGCCTGGCGCTGGAGCCGGCCATGTCAAGCACCTGGGCGCTCCCCAAGGGTTCAAAGGACCCAAGTAGGGTTTAGGGTTCCTTTAAAGGGGTCTAAAAAGCTCCTTTAAGGGTTCCTTTAAGGGTTTAGGGTTTAAGGTTTAAATTACCATATCCGGGATCTATAGTCTTTAGTGGTTTCCTTATTTTGGCAACTCAAATGAAATCCCTTAGCAAGAGCCCAGGCACGGTCATGGGAGAGCTCAAGCAGCTCCTCTCACGCCGGGGTCTTGGTCAGCATATGGGCTTAGGGCTACTTCGAAATTATTTATGTTTCCATTTCCTGGTTCCTATAATCCCTTGGGGCTACTTCGAAATATTTTGTTTCTAATTTTTTGCTCCTATAATCCTTAGCAACAGCTCCTCAGGGTCTTGGTCAGAATCCAGGGCACAGAAACATGAGTAATGTTGCTCCTTGGGGATTCCTTGCTATATGAATGGTATAGAATTACCCCTAAACCTTCAACTTAACCCCCTAGGACCCAGAGTAGGCCCTTATTCCCCTTTTTGTTTAAGGTTTAGGTTCCCTTGTAACCCCCCTCTAAACCAAAAAGGGCACTTTTTTTTCACTAGGTTACCCTAAACCCTAAACCGTCTAGTGTATAATTTCTAGGTTACCCTTAGGTCTAGACCCAGAAACTCTCCAGGCCCAGTCTGGTCAGAGTACACGCGCCAGAATGATGAGGAGAGTGCCTTAAGTGCCCTGGAAAGGGAGCCAAGAATGGCAAACTCTAACTTCATGTAGGGGCCTCAATACCTGGAATAGGGTTTGGGGGCACCTGATGAATTATAGTATACTATATCCCCAAACCCTGTGCTAATCATGAAGGCCCCTACGTTAAGTCTTCAGTTTTCTGTGTTGGAACCAGGGCTTTCGGGGGCTTCGGGTTTAAGGTTTCGGGTCTGGGTCTACACAGGGACCCTGGTCAGAGGTATAAACTACTACCAAGTTGTAGACATGTCATGCAAGGGTTCTCTCGAAGGGTTTGTAGCATCGAGACAAGGAATTATGAAGGGTTGCAAGGTCCCCCACAGAGCCATCTACCTATTTGCATAGCGATTTGTATAGCGAATGTCCCAAATGGTCGTTATATCCGGTGTCTTGTTGCGTGCCGCAGGTTCTTTATTTTTTGAATCAGGAGGTATGCGTTATTCGGTTGTCCGCATCACAAAGCACATGGCTGGTTGGAAGCAGTGACGCTTCAATTTTGTGGCGTGGGCCAATGGCTATGGTCGCCCTCAACCTTGTTCCCCAAGTCCGCGAATTCAATCCCACTTCGAGGGTCATGCGTAGCTTCTTCCTTGTAACAGGTTATCAACCAGACGACTTGACTTATGAACAACTATACACGGACGAAGCTAGCTGTAAACCCTGCGAGCACCAATGAGACTTCAAGTGAACTGGGAAGGGTACGTGTCGCTTGCAGGCGTCGCCGCCTGCACGGAGAAAGTTGCTGAGTTCAAGAAGGAGACTGGCACATCTTTCGGACTTCATATCTCTTTCTGATAAGAAACACAGATATATACAAGACTATCGGAAGAGCGAGTCCTTGTAGAGGTCTTCTACAGTCCTAGCACCCTCAATGGCCCTCAATATCAGCCTCCGTAGTGTTCTAAGCATGGGAACTAAACAACCCTTAAATGCCTGTAGATTGCAAGGCGAGTAACATGGAGGTTGGAATCATTACTAGACTCGTCTTGGGTGGGCGCTACTTCAATCATGGTATGATATATCCCCGAATCCAGATTACCGTGCGAGTGTAGAACACTCTGACGGGGGCAGGAGACAGAAGACCGAAAAGTGAACTCCCAGCTTGCTGCACCTTGGACTCAAACAAAGTGGTTGAGGAGTGCGGGCTTCAGGGATTTGAGGATTCTGGGGCTCAGGAATCACCTCATATGATCTCAAATAATTCTCAATATCTTTCTGCGTCGTTGAACCCTATGGATTGGCTTTATAGGTGCCGCCTTAACCCTAAACCCTAAACCCTAAACCCCCATAACCGCCATAACCGCCTTAACCCTAAACCCTGAAACGCACGGGTTTACTATTAGTGCCCTCGAGGCCTCCTGTCACAACCTATGAACTTCCTTCTTGGTGGCACTTCAGGCTTCCACCATCAGACTTAACCAAACACCTACACATCCTAAGCCCTAAACCCGAAGCAGGCCTTAATCCTAAACCCTACAGTTCGGCAGTTCTCAGATACAAGCTTTGGGGTCCGGGATTTCTGATGGGTCGGGATCTGGGTTTGGGTTTGATTTCAAGATTGTCGGGTTTCGGGCTTGAGCCTGAGTACCACAACGTGATTTTTTCGTGATGGGTTGGCATTCCAGTTTGCAAGTGATAAAAATCACTGACAGAGTTCCACGACACATGCGGGCCTAGCGATGCACTATACTGTAGAATCATACTTTTCATGATGAAATTATTATGCAGTTATGTGTATACAGCCTAGCACTAACTCATCAGTTGTGTTTGTTCTTCTTTGCGGCCGTGCTTTGCATCGTCCGCCGAACCCTATCCCAGATTATTAAACCCTAAACCCTAAACCCTTCTCTAGATTATTAAAACCTAACCCTAGACCCTCCTAAATCCTCGACCCTATTCTAGATTTTTATAAATAACCCCTATGCTACCATCGAAGGACATCGTTCAAAGTGTCTCAGAAGCTGCGCGGTCGGCGGAGGTGCCGTTGGGTTTCGCCTCTGCTCCTGGCTTGCCTCGGTGTAGGAGCCTTGATGTCTAGCATAGAGTTCCTTGGGGTTACTTCTGGTATACCCAGTGTTCTGGAAATAGAGCCCCACCAAGGGCTAATGTTGAACCTTACGCCATCCTATGCCTCACTTATGGCTCGTGCCGCAAACTAACATGAACTGCAGGTAGGGGCTCCGAAAAATGAATTTCCAGGCCCTCCGACCCTAGTACAGGTGTACAGGTGTCGGAGTATGCCACGGGGTTCCTCGAATTCTGACAGCCCCCTACCCTAGAGCCTAAACCCTGGCTACGGCTCAAGTATCTGATCCAGGAAATGAGCCAACACCTGGCCCAAGGTGGTACTTAGAGGATCATGGGACTTAGTAAGTAGGTTATAATTGGGGTTATAAGTCCCCTAAGTGGGGTTATCCTAATTATAACCTACTTATAACCTTACTTACTAAGTCCCATGAGCCTTCAAGTAGGGTTTAGGGTTCACAGTCTCCGGTCCAAGAAAGGAGAAAAGTCTCCCATGCCATCGGCTAAATTTCCCCGAAACTCCGAGAGACACTGGCCCTGAATCATTAGCACATGCTTTCCGGAAGGGAGGTGCTCTGGAAGCGGAGAACCTCAACCCTAAACCCTCAACAAAGCCTCGCCCTAAACCGTAAACTCTAAGCCCTACGCCATAAACTGGGGCCCTGAATCGGGATGGCAATGGCAGGAGATGACCGAGCTGTCCAAGATCGTTCAGAAGGCTTCGGAGGCCACCTGGGTGGTTGTCAAAATAAGGGTCCCTTTTTGGTTCCTTAATATAATACGGCACCTATTGTTTAGGATACCCAAAAAGGGACCATAATTTTGACAACCCCCCCCGACCTGGCTTCTATCGGTGCCTTTACTGTGGGCTTTTGGAATAGGCTGCGGAGTTGAGGGTTTTTAGGGCGATTAATCGGTGGCTGTACTATGGGCTTTTGGATTGGGTTGCAGAGTTTAGGGGGATTTAGCGCTTCGAGGCGAGGGTTTAGGGGCTTTGGCTTGTAAGAGGCACCGTAATCGCAGTGACATTCCGGGACCAAAGACGCACACAAACATAACAAGCCGAACTCTCCCCAGTTGCAGGTGCATTAACCTTTCTGGCTTGATGCTAACACTTCCAATTCGGGCGTGGACGGCACAACGGCCGATGTACATTCAGGGAGCTTGTGTTCTTGCGGGTTTGGGCTTGGTAGTTCTGGGGTTTCGTGTTCCCTGTGTCGGTTTTCGCTCGGGTTCAGGGTCTGAGGTTCCGCATGCTTGTCTGAACGGTCGGCAGTTGGCAACGGCTTACAAGGATGACTGCAGGGCTTTATTACAAATATCTTTTCGGAACCCGTGCAGTAACGCTCATAATTCTAAACCCTGAAAGAGACCCGAAACCCCTAAAGCCCAACAAAAATAATCTAGGGGCCTAAATAAGTACCAATATCAATCCTCAGGGCTCCTTGCTATTACAGTTTACTGGGCCCCAAAACCCTATTCTAATTGTTAAGGCCTCCTCGTTATTATTGTTATGAAAACCACATTACTATAGTAGCCTTACTATTATGAGTACTCCTAGATGAGCACAGAGGATCTCAGCTCCGTTTCCCTCGCCGAGCTTCAGTCGGAACGCTTCGCGGACGCGGAGAAGGCACCTTTGCGCGTTTACGGTTTGGTTGGGGGTTGAAGTGTGGGTTTCCTGATGGGAAGCCTGTCATGAAGCCCTTGAAGGCAGACCTTAACTCTTCCCCTGAAAGCCTCCCCCAGAGCTTGCCCGAATCTGCAGGTTTGTGGAATTTGGTGATACTGTTTAGGGTGTCGTACGCACCAAATGCCGTGCAGACTCTGACTGGTTTCCGGTGCACCCGAAAACCCTACGAAAGCCTCTGAGCCCACAGGCTTCGATGAAAGCGCTGAACAGTACCACCAAGGAGCTGGCCTCCCCGGCGCAGTTTGCAAGCTGCAGCCCAGGGGTTTTGAGGTTTCAGGTTAACTTCGCTTTTTGGAGGGGAGTTCAGGGGGTTTGGAGCTTGAAGGAATTCCGGCTTTAGGGCTTAAGATTTCAAAACCCTTAACCCTAAACCCTAAATCCTGTTCTTCTAGCGGTTTATGCTTTGTTCTTGTCTGTGGCTCCGAGCCAGGGCCAAGGGTTTAGGATGTCTAAACGCAGATTTGGGAGTTTCCGAGAATCGGGGAACCTAATACAGCACCCTGCACAGTAGGATCCTTATTATAAGGACCCCAAAAGAAGGTACCCCTAGTTGTCGGAAACTCCCATTCTATGGATCGTGGTTATGATGATACCCTGAACACGCTACACTCACTTCAGCTGTCCCTGAACCCACCACCCGAAAGACCAAGAACGATGAAGCTTACTTATAGTCTCCATTGCAGTTCCGTTTTGGGGCTACCTTAAAGGATCCTAATTATATATATGTATATATATATACATATATATGTATATATATATATATATATATATATATATATTTGGTTAAACCAAACCAGGAACTACATGGAGACTATAGGTAATTCAGGCCCCGAGACACTCCCAAAGCTCGAAGTTCACGCAGCCAGAGCCGGGAACCCAATAACCTATACGGTTCCTGTAGGACAACAGTTTCCGTAAGGGTTCTTGCAGGGTTTGTATGCGGCTTTCTTTCAGGTTCTCATCAGCCTTCATTTAAGCGTCCCCATCAGGATTTCTACAAGGGATACTGTAAGGCTTCTTGTAAATAAGGGTTCGCCATGGAAGGCTTAAACTCCAAACCCTGAAATCCTTAGCCTTGTACTTGGAGCGTACTGGCAATCTTCAGCAGGTTCGTGAAACGAAGCCTGGGATTTAGGGTTGAGGGTTTCGGAACAGAGACCGGTAGAGCCGTAGAAGACCACAGTCTACTTAGAGGCTCATGGGACTTAGTAAGTAAGGTTATAAGTAGGTTAGAATAAGGGTAACCCCAGTTAGGGGACTTATAACCCCAATTATAGCCTACTTACTAAGTCCCATGATCCTCTAAGTAGTGTCTAGGCCTCTATTGCATTGCAGGGTGCTGCAACGAGGGGTCCTAATTCTAATCATCCTTTTCAGCAAAGTCTCCGTATTCATCGGAGGGTCTGGCCGGGAGTATTTATCTAACTACCGGACAGTACTTGCAGGTTCGTAAGTAAAGTTTTCTTACTTACCTATGTTTAGGGTTTAGGGTTTAGGGTTTAGGATTTAGGGTTAAACCCCATTTTATAACTCCCAATGAACATCTCCTTATGGAGCCCTGGTAGATCCCTTAAAGGAGCCTTCTAAGCTCCACTTCTAACTACTGGGACTTAGTAAGTAGGTTGTAATTGGGGTTATGAGTCCCCTAAGTGGGGTTATCCTAATTATAACCCCACTTATAACCCTACTTACTAAGTCCCATGAGCCTTCAAGTACCCAACGAACCTCCAACTAAAACTCATCCTCCTGCCAGTCGGCGCGCCTCTTGGCGAGCAAGGGCTCGCAACAGCAGGAGTCTGCCTCAGGGGGCTGTAGCTAAATGAGCTAATTCCGGGTTTGCATGGTATTGGGTTTGGGGTTTGGTTCAGAGTTCAGGGCTTCAGGAGTAGCTAATTTAGAGTTTAGGGTTTAGGGTACCGGGTTTCGGGTTTGGGTTTCCGGGTGTAGGGTTTTGGGTGCTTGCGGTTGGAGGTTTAGGGTTTCACGGGGTTCCAAGGGTTTGGGTTTGGAGCCGATGGGCCTCCCTAAAAGGGTTTAGGGTTTAGGGTTTTAACAATGTTGAATATGATGTTTTTTTTTGAAACCTTCCCTTGCTGTGGAGTCCTTATACTGGGGACGCTTCACATGCACAGTCGCGGACTTCTGCGGTTTCTTGGAAGTTACGTTTGGCGAGTTCCATTTCGCCGCGGCGGGCTTCGGAGTGGTTGAGGGCTTTGGGTCCGAGAAGTTTAGCTTCGGGCTATCAACCGCGCATCCTGAACCCTAATCATCCCTAAGTCTGTTTCGTTGATCGACAGGATGTAGTTGATGCACAGACGTTGGAATGCTGTGTTTTTCGCCGTTACATTGAGTTTGACAGTGCTATACAAGCTGGGGGCAGTGCTTGCCACGTCAGGGCCATTGTATCTGGTGTCTGCCTCCAACTGATTATGGTACAGGTTCTCAACCATAAAGCTTATGGCCGGCGTCTCCATATGCCATATGCACTGGATGTCGCGATGAGTGCATGGGTTCCGCTGAGTTGGTACCTACTGATGTTCCTTCGGAAGGACGGTTTGGTGTTATTCGGTGCAACGGGTGACGATTTGTGTCGGAACTGTGTTTTTACGGTTCGGACCCCGCATTAGGGTTCAAGGCTCAGGGCAAACAGGCTCTAGAAAAGCAGCATGTCTGGGTTTAAAACTTTGTCGAAGTTGGCTAAAGTTGTGAGGATGAAGCCCAGCCCAAGACACCCTATGTCGTAAGCTCTGAAACCCAAGCCAGAAGCTCTGAACCCCTTACCTTGAGCCCTGAACCCTAAATCGAAAGCTTAGAAACCCAAATACCCCAAGCATCGAACCGTTCCAGAAGCCACTCCCCCAAGCACCTATAGTCTCCATTGTAGTTCCGTTGTTTGGGTTGACCAAATGGGTCCCATAAGATAACGCCAAAAAGGAACTACAATGGAGACTATAGGTCCTATAGGTGGCATGCTCCCCTGTGGCCAATCATCCTGGTGCTCCCTTTAGGGTTTAGGGTTTAAGGTTTAAGGATTTAGGGTTTAGGGTGTAGGGGTTTAGGGTTTAGGGTTTAGGGCATGTTGGCATAGCAGCCGCGAGGTGAGGATGAAATGCAAGGTCTGCATTTTCTCGCTGGGTGTGTGTGTGTGTGCAAATAGCCGAGTGACGCTCTGTTGGGCTTTACAGAGAAAGCACGCGGTGCACGGCAACCTTGTTGCCTGTTGCGAAGATCCGAAGTCTTGCATTTTGCACCAGATGGGTGGTTGTCAAAATAGGGTTCCTTTCGGGTCCCTGATATATATATATATATATATATATATATAGATAGATAGATAGTACGGCACCTATTATTTAGGGTACCCGAAAAGGGAGCCTAATTTTGAGAACCACCCAAATCGCAAGCGCAGGAGCGGATCCGCAGGGTCGAGAGGTACCAGTTTCGTGCATGGGAAAAGCCCGTAAACCTAAAACCCAAAGCCCTAAACCTGAGGCAGGGAGTTGGCAGTGCGAATGTCCCAATGCACCCTTAAAAAAAAGCCTGCTCTCATTACCAACGCAACCAGAATTATTATGTTACTAAGCTCCCAGCCGTACGTTCCAACGCCTTTCCATCAATGGAGGCTCGGCGGACTTAGTAAGCAGTTATGCTGGAAGTTAAAGCATGCAACATACGTACGTCTAAACATTGAGTATATTCGTTATTTGAAGATACGTACTCTCTAACTCAATATTGGGGATCACGTCAGGCATATTCCGAAATACTCTTGATTCTGCAAGTGCCCAATGTTCCGCATGTAATTCACGCTGGAGCTCCCAACCCGGGTGCGCCGGTCTAATTTCGGAGGCAGTAGGATTTGTTGGATGTAGGCCTTAAGCCCAAGTATTAAACCCTAACCCGTGCTTGAATTTACAAAAACTGACAAAGGACCCCCCCCCCCCCCCCGGTCGGTGAAGCCCCAAATCCTGGACCGTTTAGGGTCTACTTTAGGGACCTAAAGATCCAAAATAAGTACTAGTACTGTTTTGAGGGGTTCCTCCATATAATTAAAATAGCATAATGGGCCCCAAAAGCCTATTCTAATTGATCCCTGATATAGAACCCTTTAAGGAACTCTGCTTTACTTTGTCCCGTACATCAGGGTTTAAGACTCTGCCCCCTCAGGCACTCAAGAAGCTGCAGACTCGACTGTCGAGCATCTCCAAGGATCCACCCTCGCGTGACTTCCTATGAAATCTTCCCCTAAGGGTTTGAAAGGGTTCCTACTACAGGGGCCTGAATAATTTCCTATACAATTTCCGGGTTCCTGAATACATTTGTAGATTCCTCCCTTGAGGTTTTGAAAGGGTTCCTACTGTAGGGGCCTCAATAATTTCCTATACTATTTTGGGCGTTCCTCATTATGACATCCTCCATTAAGGTTTTGAAAAAAGGGGTTTCTGGGGCGGGGGTTTAGGGTTCAGGGCTTGAGAGTTCAATGGTGCAAGGGCTCGGTGTGTAGGAGTTCAGGGTGTGGTGTTTCAGAGATCGTGATAGTGTTCCTTTAAAGGGGTCTATAAGGGCTACTATAAGGGTGGTCTACTATGGGTTCAGCTCAGGATTCAGGAGTTTAGGCTTTACGGATTTGGGATCTGTCGGAAATTAGGGCCACGGCTCGTTGCAGCAAGCTGCAGCGTGTTGGAGTCTCTCTCAAAAGAATTGGGGGGTTGGGTTAAGGCGAAAGGTCCTCAACCCAACAGCACTGAACCGTGCCAGCAGTTGGCTTAATTGGCCCTTAACCTTCAACTCTAAAATCTGAAAATGAGCGGCTTCTTTGGCACGAGCTGGGAGGACATCGTAAGTGCCCGAGAAGTGCTGGCAAAGAGGGCGAAGCTCGTTGAGGGCAGCTGCCTTAGTGATTTTATGGTTTAGGGTTTAGGGGCTTTCGTGACTTTATGTTTTTTTTTTGGGTTCTTAGTTTCGAGCAAGGGATCTGTACCTGAGGGATGCTGCAGTGTACCTGGCTAAGGGTTAGCCAGGACAGGGTCTGAGGTTTGTTTGGGCTCTGGAAAACTGTCTGGGTAGTTGTCAAAATTATGGTACCTTTTTGGGCACCCTAAATGTTAGGTGCCGTATTAGAACAAGGACCCCCAAAAGGGAACCATAATTTTGACAACCACCCAGACCTTAATACACCCTAAATATTAGGTGCCGTTCTATAGTAAGGACCCCCAAAGGGACCGATTTTTTTTAAATGTATTGTGCCGTATTATAATAAGGACCCCCAAAAGGGACCATAATTTTTGACAACCACCCATCTGTCTGCTAATCTTCGAAGAAGCGTAGAGTTTCGGACGCCGTCTCGATCAAGGCTACGGATGCATACGCCCAAATTGATAGTAATAATAATAATAATAATAGTAATAATAGTATAATAGTAATAATAATAGTAGTAATACAAATAATAGCAATAATAATATTGTAACAATAATAATGGTAATCCTAATCATAGTAATTAGACATGCCGATGGCTTAGAAGGGGCCCCCACCCTGTACTAGTGGAAAAAAAAGGAATATGATAGGGCGCTAGTAAAATCCTTATAGTCACCATTGCAGGCTGTGGGCAGCTTCTAACCGATGGCCTAGAACCTGAAGCCTTAGATCCTTACTTCCAGGATCATGGGACTGGGTCAACAGGTGGTCAGTGGGTGATTCTGTGGTCCCTCCGTGGCAGGATGTCCAAGTCTGCACGTTGGGTTTCGAAGTTTAGGGTGTGACATCTGGGAGTCTTAACCTGATGTCGCATGGGAGTCCGAATCTGTGTATAGTGGTCATGTCCCTGCACAGTTCCCACCCAAGCTAGCAAGTAACATGGTAGGTTCGCTTGTTTGCGATAGATAGTGCAGCAGCGTGTTCTTCGCTGCCTGTCTTCGATCCAAAAGGTTAGCTCCAGTTTCTGAAAGGCCCACGGTAATCTTGTGTAGTCCCGATGTCCGTGAGATCCGAAAGAGTGTCCCAGGCGTTACATGCGTATAAATCCTTGGTAACATTATATGGAACACAAGTGTTGACAGAGCTCTTTAACATTTGTGTCGAGTTTGGGTTCGGCTGGTTTGAGAGCGAGCTCGTCATCAAACCGAAAACGGATGACTGTCAGCGGAAGCCCGCTCTAAATACGTGACTTTTCTCGACTTACAGAGGCTACACGGAGAAGAGCGTGCAAAGTCTGCACGAGACGAAAAAAGGCCCTGCAAAGAACAAAGGGAAACTACGTCCCAAAGCACCGTACTGGATGAAGCACCCGCACTGTTCAACCGGGCCGACAAGCCCTAAGCCCTATCAGCCCTAAACCCCTAGAAGAATCTAAGAAGAAGAAGCCTGACAACCAAAAGCCCACTGAAAGCTAAACCCTAAACCCTATAAGCCCTACACCCCGACACCCCACAGAAGCCTATAAGCCCTCTAAGTCCCAAACCCTCAACCCCTAGAAGCCTATAAGCCCTAAACCCTCAAAGCCCAAAGATCCAAGGGTAACAGGAGGGACCCTTAATAAGGACCCCTAGGTATATACCCTTAATATAGCTATTATATACCCATTACATAGCCCTTTATAGGGTAGGGGTCCACATGAAGGGTCCCTCCTTTTCCCCTTTGATTAAACTAAACCCTAAACCCTATAGATCCCTTTAAAGGGACCCTTATAAATCCCTTTAAAGGAACCCTAATCCCCATTAAGGGTCCCTCCTTTTCCCCTTTGAAAAGAGAGACGAGGTTAGGAACCCTAAACCCTGAACCCCTAAACCCTAAACCCCTAAACCCCCAAACCCTAAACCCCCAAACCCTAAACCCTATAAGCCCTATAAGCCCTATAAACCCTATAAGCCCTATAAGCCCTAAACCCTCAAAGCCCAAAGTGAGACGAGGCAAAGAGCTGCTCCAGAGCGAGGAGAAGCGCTTGAAAGGCCTCGAGGAAGCGATGGCCTCCGCCCAGGCCGCCGAGGTTTTCTATTTGGAGGATCATGGGACTTAGTAAGTAGGTTATAATTGGGGTTATAAGTCCCCTAAGTGGGGTTATCCTAATTATAACCTACTTATAACCTTACTTACTAAGTCCCATGAGCCTTCAAGTAGTGTCGTTTTAGTGGGCGATGAGGAGGGGAGGGGGGGGGGGTTCACAGGTTAGGGTTTAGGATTTAGGGTTTAGGGGTTATAGTTTAGGGTAGGATGTTCTTCCATTTTAAGGGTTGCCTTGTTGGACGTTCATCATAGGGGTTCATTTGGTTTCCCTTTGTTGGACTTTGATCATAGGGGTTCAAAGGGCCATAGGGTGTTCTTCTAATTTAAGGGTTTCCTTTTGGAGTTTGTAGTAGCTTAGTAGACCTCATAGAATCCTTACTGTTCTACTTAGCCCTTACTGTGTTCTGATTAGTCATCCATATAGTAGACCTTACAGATAAGTAAGGCCATAAACCCGGTAGATGTTAAGCCCCAATGCTTAAACCCTAGCGGCCCGAGCCCTTGACTACCCAGACCCCCGTGAGGATCTAGAAAGTAGATCCCCTAATTTGGGGCCCTGTGCTACTAAGGGTACTTTATCCCCATTAAGGGATCTACTTTTTGGATCCTCCCGGGGTCTGGGCAACCACTTATGCTCTCCATTGTAGTTCCTTTTTTGGTTTAACCAAATATACAACTAGGATCCTATAGGTAACCCCAAAAAGGAACTGCAATGGAGACTATAGGAACTGTGTTTCTTTTGGTTCAGGCCGTTGCCTCCTTGGAGGAGGTCACGAGCGGAGAACTCGACGACGAGAAGGTGGAGGACACTCTTTTTGCGCATTGTTTGATGTTTAGGGTTTTGGGTTTAGGGTTTTGGGTTTGGGGTTTAGAGTTTAGGGTTTAGGGTGTAGGGTTTTGGGTTTAGAGTTTAGGGTTTTGGGTTTAGGGTTTTGGGTTTTGGGTAGTTTTATCGTTATTACTGCCAGTGTTTTTTATTCTATAGACTGTTTTTGAGCTTCGCGCTTGATGATTCAGTTCAACGTTTAAGGTTCCAAGGTGCTTGCAGAATTTGGGGCTGTGTAGTTTTGGGCGTGGCACTCCGGCACTGCAGGGCTAGCTGGCTTCGGTGTTGAGAGTTCAGGGAGAAGAGCCTTTGCAAACCCCAAGCTGAAACCATCAGCAAGGTAGCCGTCTTTGCCACCCGAAAAGGTACTCGAAATCAGCTTCCCCTGGGACTAGGCGACTAGCCCTTCATGCGAACCCTCAGCATCCCTCACGAGATACCCTTACTTAATCCTAATCCCTTTGTAAACTTTAGCGTTCCCACTCCTTTAAATACCTAAGGCTCTAAACCCTGTGAGTGAGGGATCCTTTTTTGACAGTGCATGCTCTAACTTGAGCAAGCTCGTACTCTGCTGGAAAAGGGGCTATTGCACTTTAAAAAAAACCCTAAGCCCCAAGTAACCAAGAACACATTCTAGAACGCGACAAAGCCACACAGAACTCACACCCCGCCAACATACAATGGTTACAGTAGAGATTCCCCACAAGAAGCCTTGAGAGGGCCTTACTGTAAGGTTTTAAGGTGTGGGGTTCAGGGCCTTGCAGATTAGCCCTATAGATGTGTTAAACATAGAGGAACAAAAAACATACCCAGTATGTTTAGACACCCAAGAACTCGCACGCGCCTAGTAGCCCCTAGTTTTTGAGCTTAGATCCTAGAGACCCACCGGCCTCCTAAACTATATGTCAAAGGGGGAAAGGAGGGACCCTTAATGGGGACCCCTACTTAATATAGCTATTATATACCCACTATATAGCTCATTATAGGGTAGGGGTCCCCACTAAGGGTCCCTCCTTTTCCCCTTTGATTTCACTACACCCTCAACCTCAGCCCGGATCAAAGTAACCCGAGTGACCCCTCTTGTAACCCGTATATAATGCTTGAAGGACCCCTGAGCCCTCATCCCTAAACCCCTAAGCCCTAAAGATTGAACCCTAAGCCCTAAGCCCTGAACCCTAAACCCTAAACCCCAAACCCTAAACCAAACCCTAAGCCCTATACCCTAAGCCCTAGACCCTGAACCCTGAGCCCCGAAAGACGTGATTGAACTCCAGGAGCTGAACACGGTGCTCACCAAAGCTAAGGATGCCCTGAAGGCTTCCAGCAACCTTCCTTCGGAGGGTGATTTGTAAAGGTTAGCTATAAGGATTTCGGTTAAAGGTTGCCACAAGGGTTACTGTACAGGTGGCTACATTTCAAGGATTTCTCGAAGGTTGCAGTGTGCTTTTTTCGTTTTTTTCAATAGGCTACGACGAGGGTTAGTCCATTAGGGTTACTATCAGGGTTTCCATACGTTAAAGGTTGCCCAAAGGGTTTAGGGTTTCGGGTGTAGGATTCAGGATCTGGGCAGAGTTTAGGGGTCAAGTTAAGGGTTAAGCCTTCCGCGTAGGTTAGACCCTAATGCCATAATTGCTACGGCCTGCACCCTCAATCTGATGGTGTAGAGCCTGTGGTACACCCCTAAACCCCAAACCCAAAACCCTAGACGGGTAGCTGTCAAAATTATGGTTCCTTTTTGGGTACCCTAAATATCAGGTGCCGTATTATATCAGGGACCCAAAAAGGGACCCTAATTTTGACAACCACCCTCAAAAGGCACTGACTTCAAGCGCTAAACAAGGGCCATCAACCCCGACGCGAGACCGATACACTACTTCTGAAACCTGAAGCCTCTGCTTGCCCTAACCCCTAAACCCTTAAACCCTAAACCCTAAACCCCTAAACCCTAAACCCTAAACCGCCCCCCGGAAGTCCGAACCAAGGAGAAACCTAAGCCCAAGCACGACGAAAGGCATCGGTCAACTTCGCAGCCCGGCGGCGGAGTGCAGCGGACGGGCCGCTGAAGGTCCTCAGTCCCACTTAGAGGATCATGGGACTTAGGGTTCCTTAAAGGGCTCCTTAAAGGGTTTAGGGATCTATAAGATAAGGGTTCTATAAGGGGTAGTTTAGGATACTTAGAGGATCATGGGGCTTAGTAAGTAGGTTGTAATTATAAGTCCCCCAACTGGGGTTATCACCGGGGTTATCCTAATTATAAGAGTGGCTGTCAAAATTATGGTCCCTTTTTGGGTCCCTATTATAGTACGGCAGCTAATATTTAGGGTACCCCAAAAGGGACCCTAATTTTGACAACCACCCGTTAAATGGGGTTTTGACAAGGATTGAACAATTGGGAGTGTTGGCTGTGTTTGGGTTGCTATGGGTTTACGTCTGGGTTTGTTTAGGCGGTGTTGGACACTTTGACCAGCGCTTGCTGTTTTGGAGGCTTTGGGGTCCAGCGTTTAGCCATCGCTTCCGTCCATTTTGGCTCCACCCTATGCCAGATGCCCAGTAGTACCCTTATTCCCTTTTTGCAGTCCTAGGTTCCCTATAAAGTTACCCAATTAGCAAAGGAGCCGTTTTGATTCCTAGGTTATTGGGCATCCTAGATGCCCTACACCCAAAGGCCCAGGATCCTCAAACGAAGCAAAGGATCCTCCCCTGCGTGGTCCTAGCCTCAAACCACTAGCATGGATGTTATTTTGTGCTGTTTTCATTATGACTACTATTTGCTGGTACTAGTGTACTAGTGTTTCAGACCAACGCTGCTAGTATTGTTTATTAGTATTAGATGACACCCCAGAGGCCTCAATCCCCAAACCCAAAGCGTCAACACCCCAAACTCAAAACCCTCCCCCAGCCACTAAAGTCTGAACGATCTATGCCCTGCGAACAGTCAACAGCTATGGGATTCGTACTTAAGCTTCTCCTAGTCCCTGTACACTACACCATGCCATACCCCGAAACTCTAGCCCTATTAGCAGATCTCCTTGTGCCCATGTAGCCCCTAAACCCGAAAATCCCTAAACCTTGAACCCTAAACCTTCAAAAAGCCCTAAACCTTAGTGCCCTAAGCGTCAAAAGCCGTTAACCCCAAGCCGTAGGCAGCGCTGCAATCTCTTGGTGAGCGAACGGCACAAGTGCCTTGTTCTTCTGGAGGGGCTTAGGTTGAGGGTTTAGAGTTGTAGGGTTCTGGAGTTTGTGCGGGTTGTAGGTTGAGGGTTTCATAAGGTCTCGCAGAGCTTTAGTAGGGTTTTGTCTTTCTGCAAGGGTCTGAAACATTGCTTTGAGTAAGCTGCTTCTCAAGATTGGGCAGCATCTATTGGTTCTTACTCATATTAAGGATGCTACTCTGAAAGGTTTATTCTGGGGTTCCTTGCTGTTCAAAGACTCCAATATCACGCAGTTCGGGTTTAGTCATCGAGGGCGAATCCATTGTGGGTTCCAATTGATAAGGGGTCTATGGCTTACGGCAATAGGAACGCTGCCTCAACATATGGTGCATTTCGTAGCTAGAAACCCCTAAAACAAACCCATGCGCGACCCCTTCCTTCTGGAAATCTCATAAAACCCTATAACTCCTTCATACTCGCTAAACTGAGAACCCCAAAGGGCGCAAAGAGACCCGAAGAAGCTGTATAAGGCTTCGATCGAGTCCTTAGGACCAACCAACCTGTCAATCCGTCGATCTATCGATCGGTCTTTCTAATCTACCGAACCTAACCTAGCCTTCCAGGCCCCTCCTTGTGCCCTCAAAGAGGGGTCTCTGGCCCCCCAAATAATGGGCATTTGGGGTCTAATAGAGGGTAGATGGAGGGTCTAGGTGGACAGAGAATTCAGAATCCCCTATATGCAAACCTTGCCTGAAGCAAAGGGCTCTGAACAAAACAAGCCCTCAACCCCAAAAGTCCCAAAAATCAACTACAGGGGCTTAAATAATTACCTATACTAGTTTGGGCGTTCCTTGTTAGAATAAATATAGTACGATACATACCCCCAAAGTCCTAAGGTTCAAAACCAGCTACGCTGCTTCTCAGGCGCAGTCTCAGCTCAATGCGATGTTGGCGGCTTCGAAGGCTCCAACTGGGACCCAGAGTAGGCCCTTATTAGGGTTTAGGGTTTTGGTTCCCTTGTAAACCCCCTTTAAAACCAAAAAGGGGCACCTTTTCTTTCCTAGGTTACTCTTGGGTCTAGTCAACGGGGTGCTGCTTGCGCTTTATGTGGGGGTTTGAGCTTTACAGCAGGGTTTTGGGTTTTGGGCTTGAGGGCCTTCATGTTTACAGTAGGTTTAGGGCTTTGGGGCTTTCCGGGTTTACAGTAATTAGGTTTCGGGGTTTTGGGCTTCATGGTTTAGTGGTCAGCTGGCTTTGCGCTTTTGTTATGTTGTCAAGCTTGGCTATCCTGACGACACGCCAGTACAGTGGCAATGTTGAGTACCCAGGAAACCCAAGAAAGGCTGACAAAGCTATGATATAGGGGGCTTAATAATTTGATAATTAGAACAAGGTTCCTTTAACGAGGCCTATAAGGGCTACTACAAGGGTTTATAAGGGTACTATAATTTTTGTGCCCATTATACTATAAATATGCAATGAGGAACCCCCCAAAACAGTATTGGTAATTATTTCGGCGCCCATATGAATTGCAAAACAGGCCCGAACCCGACAGGCACAGCGCGGCCGAATCCAGGCGGCGGTGAAGATGCGTGAGGTCGGCTTACCAGTGTCTAAGGTGCCCGGAGACCCCATGATCAAGCCGAAAGTGGAGATTTGAGGGTTGCATGTTTATGGGTTTACCCAAATGTAAAAGGAGGGACCCTTAATAAGGACCCCTAAGTGTATACCCTTAATATAGCTATTATATACCCATTATAAAGCCCATTATAGGGTAGGGGTCCCCATTAAGGGTCCCTCCCTTTTCCCCTTTGGGTTTAGGGTCGGGAAGTGTCCGTGCCGGGTTGGTGTAAGGCTTCGCGCTGGCACAAGCCATGCGTGCCCTCGGCCTTTGGCTGAGCCACCGAAGCTCCTTGATCCCTAGAACCCAATCCCAAAAGACAAGAGAAATCTCTACACATCCCAATCCACATAGACCCCTGATCTAACCTTATAAAGCCCTATCAAACCCTTATCACGATGCCCGAACCCTGAGTCTAGACCGTAGCTCCTTGGTCCGATCCCCCAACCCTGTAGAACCTTGTTTGAGTCCTTGCACTAACCCTCATACTGGCCCTTACAACGACCCTTATGGCGACATCTAATGTAGGGGCCGGATTAATTCGCGATAGTATTCCCTGGGCTTCTTTACCGTGGCTCTGCTCTACTTCACCCCAACAAACCTTACTCTAACAGCTAAGCCCCCCCTGAATGTAGTAAACTTTAAACCCCAAACCCAAAATCCTAACCCTTATAGCTTATAACAAATAGAACCCTAATGGAGCGCTAAGCCCCAGTACAGAACCTCTCAAGCTGGGACCCTTTCCAACAGGTGAAGGGCAAGGCAGACCTGGTTGAGCAGCTTCTGGACAAGGCAGGCTTGAGGGTTCCCTTAAAGGGAACTCCAGAAAGTTGGAATATGGTTTCAGGGTAGGATACCTTATAATTTACCATAAAGGGTTTAGGATAATCATATTCCAACTTTCTGGCTTTTACTGTAAAGGAACCCTTCAAAAGGAACCCTTAAACGGGAACCCTTAAACCAAAACCATTAAAACGGAACCCTTAAAAAGGAACTCTTAAAAGGAACGCTTAAAAGGAAGCTGTAAAAGGACCCCCTAAAACGGAATCCTTACAAGGAGCCGTTAGAGGAACCTTAAACAGGAGTCCGTTAAAGGAACTTTTTTAAAGGCACCTATAGAGGGGACCTGCCGGGGTCTCTTTTTGTACTGTTCCTACTTAGGGTTCCGGCAGGGGCTCTATAGGGGTTTCGAAAAAGGGGGTTAGGTTTGGCTAGGATGCCCATCAGTAGTACCCTTATTCCCGTTTTGTAGTCCTAGGTTCCTTATAAAGTTACCCAATACCAAAAAGAGAGGCCTTTTTATTCTTAGGTTACTGGGTATCCTAGTTGGTTTAGGGTTTAGGATTCAGGGTTAGGGCTCTCTAGGGTTCATGGCTCAGGCTGTGGGGCTTTGGGCATCGGGTGTGCGGTGTTGGGTTCAGGGTTCATGGTGGGTTTAGGGTTCTGTGGGGATTGGGTTAAGGGTTTTGGGTGGACTGGAGTGTTTAGGGTTTAAGCGGATTCTTCAGGATTAGCCCGGAGGGGTATATATGCTAAAAGCAGCAAGTTTAATTTTGCTCAGAAAATGCTTCAGTATATGTTATGCCGCAAAACCACAGCCTACTTATGAAGTCCGAGATTCAGATTCAACCCTTAAGCTTCAAATCACCCCCAAACCCTGAATCCTCAAGGTTAGAATCAGAGAGAGAGCCACCACGACACTCAACAAAAAAGAGAGTTAACATCGAGCGCCCAAGCAGGTCAACGAGACTGAGTTGCCTTTCCTGAAGGGCATGGAGATCCTCCCTGCAGACGAGGCGTCAACGGTTGAGTATTTTGGGGATTCGGAAACTAGGGTTTAGGGTGCAAGCTTTAGGTTTGCGTCCTGAATTTCGGGTTTAGAGGGTCTCCAGCCTCTAGTTTGATGAGGGGGTAGGGCGGGGTGGGACGGGGGCGGTGGGAGGGCTTTGGGGCTTGGAGTCCGGGGTAGAAAAAGTGTAGTTGGCTATAGCTCTTGTATAGCCATCAGGGCAGCAAGACGCTTGCTCAAAGGCGCAGGGATAGCTAAGCACAGAACTTAAGCTCTTTGGTTCCAGGTTTTGCAGTAAGTTGACTGAACCCTAGACTCATATATAGATTGTAAACCTGCGCGACACCTCGCCATTAACTTAACGAGCTCTCAATGGCTTACCCCGGACAAGCAGCCACCCCAAACTGTACCTGGTATTTCCTGGTAATCACCCCTCTACCTCCCCAAAAAGCCCGAAACGCCAAAGCCTAAACCTGTAAGGACCCGATGCAGGTTTCTTGCGACCTAATAGTAAGCCCCTTCCTAAACTCTTAAAGCCCGCAAAGCTTTCCCTGAGGTTGCCGAGACTGTGGGCGCCGCTGAAAACGCTGCCGAAAAGTTGGAGGTGCTTGAGGGTTTACTATAGGGGCCTTAATGATTACCTAAATTACCTAAACTATTCCGGGGGTTCCTTATTATATTTACAGTGTACTGGGCCCCAAGACCCTATTCTAATGATTAAGGTCCCTATATTGGTTGAAGCAGGGTCTACGACGAGGGGTTGCTTCAAGGCTTCGGGGTTCCTGCAAAGGAAATTTTGCATTTTTTTTAAATTTGGGTCCTTGAAGGGCTTTTGCAACTGACTGCATTCTTCAATTTGAGATTCGGGTTTACTCAAGATTTTTCAGTTCAGGGTTTCGAGTTTAGATGTTGGTGCCTGGCCGCTAATCTTACGGTTCAGGGTTCAGGGTTGGGATGAGGCTTTACATGAAGCAGTCGTTACAGAGGTTACCCTTAAGGGCTCTGAGAAGGGAAGCTTCCCACAGGGCGTTTTGTCGGGTTCCACAATATCGGTGCTAGGTTTCATAGCACCGAGCTCAGCAGTGGGCCTTGACCTCCGAAGCAGGGCGAGTTGCTGTGTTGCTTCAGCCATGTTCGGGCGTCCTGTGTTCAAAACGGCGGAGGAGATTCGAGCCGAAAAGCTCAAGCTTGAGCGGTGGCTCCGTGAACAGTACCAAGCATATCAGAAACATGTTGAAGAACTTGACAGGGAAAAAGCGAGATGGAGAGCTGACAGACCGAACGACATCGTCTCTGGTGAGTCAGATCCCGACGAGCCGCTGCCGGGGCTGTGGCCGGCTTGGGACTATGAAACCGCCGGCGATGAAGCCGACGGCGAGTAATTATCAGATCTACAAATCCGGGTCGGATGCCGACGAATGTCTCTCTAGAAGGGTTCCATAATGTGTTTTGGGTTGAGGTGTGTTCAGGTTTGCACAGGCTGTCGGGGGAGGTTTGGGGTGTAATCTAAGGTTTAAGGGTTCAGGATCGTATGGACCAGGACTTTGTATGCATTGTAAGACTCAGGGTTCAAGTCGTTTTTTTGGGTTTAGTTGAGGGTTGCTGCAAGAGTTTCCTTGTTTTGCACGGGCATAACGTACAGTGCGATGGACAACCCAACAGAACAAAAGCTTGCACCATCTGGTGGCTTGGGATTGTAAGCAGCACTTTTGGAGGGGTTGATAGCGTTGGTGGGTCCCCTCCCAGAAAATGGGCCTATAGTGCAAAAGAGACTGGAAAACATGAGTCCAGGCCTTACTCATTACTCATAATTGGGAATAGAACCCTTCTAACTAATCTCTGCTTAGGCACAGCCAATCATAAGACATGGACCTCCCGGTACTGCCTGAACGACTTCCAACCCATGAAGTCCCAAGCCTTAAACTCAAAGCCCTAAATTGCTCAAAATCCTGACAGCTTCTGATGGATTAGAACTTGAAAACCAACTACAGAACCATGTAGAACCCTCTTAACCCCTGCAAAACCCAAACCAAACCCAGGAACCCTTGCAAAGCCCTGCAAAGCTCGACCAAACCCAACCCTGACCCTAAAAACCCGTAGAGAAAGGAGCGTCATTGCACTTTAAAGAAAACCGTAGCTCCCATGAAGGTCCAAGGAGAAGCAGCCTCGAAATCACCTTGAAATGAATCCCTTCAAGAGATCCGCAAAGATATCCCTAAAGAAGTCAGAAATCCGTTAAAGAGCCTCTTAAAGAAATCCCTCAAAGAAATGCTCATGGAAAACTTTAAAGATCCCCTAGCAGGGGGCCATCGTCGATGCGAGGCAGTTTCAGGCTTCGGCGGCGGTGGTGACCCGACCAAGAAAAAGCTAAAACTTCAGTCAGAGCAGGGCTTATAGGTTTGGGGCCTAGGGGTCAAGGGCTCAGGGATCTTGGGGTCTTAGGGTAAAGGTGGGTTTGTAGAGTTCTAGAGTACGGTATGGTTGGCATAAGGGCAGAGGGTTCCTTTAAGGGGCTCTGTAGCCAAGCTTAGGATTTTCGCGTTTGGAGTTTTGGGGTTGTACTTGAAGGCTCAGGGGACTTAGTAAGTAAGGTTATAAGTAGGTTATAATTAGGGTAACCCCAGTTAGGGGACTTATAATCCCAATTATAACCTACTTACTAAGTCCCATGATCCTCGAAGTAGGGGTTGTAATGTGGTTGGATTTTTGGGGTGCAGGCTGTCGGGCTCTGAGGGTCCATTGTTTCGGGGTTCTGGTTCTTGTGGTTTTGTATTGAGGCCGAAGGTTCGGTTTCGGTACTGCCATACGTGTTTCACGACGGTTCTCCACTCAGATAGCAGGCATCAGCGTCGCTCTCCCGCACGTTTCTACTATGAACCTAACTTGTTTCAGTTCTCTATCACGTCAATGTCGCAAAAGTGTTACAGCTTTTGTGCTTTTTCTGTTTACAATGCCGTGGCTAAGGTTGAAAGAAGGTGCCACTGCCAAGTTAGGTTACTGTAGCATGAAGCATTCACAGAGGCTCGGAGTTTCACTCAGGATGGAAATGTGTGGTTGTCAAAATTATGGTCCCTTTTTGGCTCCTTAATATAATGCGGCACCTATTTTAGGGTACCCAAAAAGGGACCCTAATTTTGACAACTACCCAAATGGTATTTATGATTGTGTATGCGGTCGGGCCCGTTAGGCTCCCGGTACTAGGCCCTAGAGTAGTCCCTTATTTTTCCTGTTTCTAGGGCTCAGGTTCCCTTAAAAGCCCCTTTAGACCAAAAAGGGCACCCTTTTCTTCCTAGGCTACTCTTGGGTCTAGGGTAAGTATAAGTACCACATGGCGTTTGTCAGTAGTGTTTTAGATTGTTTAAACCCGAAACCCGGCCCTAAACCCTAAAGGGGGTGTTGTCATTGTGTTGAGGCTTTTTGCAGGCGCGGGCCAGCAGCGCTTGCATGCAGGGTTAAGGTTTAGGACTTTTGGGGTTCATACTTGTTGAATATATGTATATACAGATATACATATACATATATACCCACCCATTTTATAAGCATATAGACATATACCGCATGCTATGAATATCAGATTTATTACTCGGTTCGTCTTGTTGGGTCAAGCTGCATTTGAGGGTTTCGGGTTTAAGTCAGCGATGCGCCAAAGCCCTAAGCCCTCGGCCGTACACTCTAAACACAAAAACCTTCTATAAAAGCCTAAAGCCCTAAACCCTACAGCCGGAATCCCCCAAACCTAACCCCCAAGCCGGAAAGCCTGACCCGTAAACCCCAAACCCTAAACCTCAAGCTCTCAAACCCTAGCCCTAGGCCTTAATCCCCAAACCGTAACGTGTTCAGAGCACCACGGAGCCAAACTCGAAACTTCCAGCAGAGGACCTCAAGGCGAGCCTGTCGGCGGACGCCCTGAAGAGCTTCATGAAGGACCCCAGCGCTTTGTGGGTTTGCAAGGTAAGTTAAGCTTCAAAGTTACTTTCTATAAGGTCGGTTTTTTTGAAAGTTAGCTTTTAGAGTTAGTGCCATTCAGGTTTTGGAGTTTCATAATGGCGTCTCGGCTTTGCGGAACTTGCTGCGCGTTCTTGAGGCTTCTTCTCGAAGTTTTCGGCTGCTGCTTTCTACGGAGCTTCTAGGGGCTCATTGTACTATAATTGTAGTAAGGAACCCCCCAAAAATAGTATAGGTACTTATTTAGGGCCCTATAAACCCCAAACCCCTATAAGGGCTCAGGGACCACATCGGTGTGGGAGGGTGAGGGGGCTGAAGGAATCTAGGAGCTCACAGATTAGGTAGACAGCCAAGCCCACAGCTTTACAGTACTCCAAGAAACCAAGTGCCCAGAAAGCCGTCGTGAGTACGCGACGTAGCAGATCCGCTCGTTATTAAGGCCCCTGCATCAGCCCGAATCTCTTCTGGGGGCTCGGCTCGGATTCAAAGAGTTTACCCAGCCTCGGGAAACCAAATGCCGTAGAAGGCGAGGTAGCTCTATGATGGATGTAGGGCTGTAGGTGTCGGGCCAATGGTTTGGGTTTCGGGTTTCGGGTATGGGTTGCTGTTCCTGAATCCCTACATTATGATAGTGCACTGCTCGTGACCCAGAACCTACAGGTAACTGGGCTTGCAGAAGAAAAACCATCCAGCCACTTCAATCCGTAACCGTAAAACCCCATAGTAGTTCCTTGTTGGGACTACCTTATAGAATTCTGTAAATGAGCCATACAGGAACTACTTTGGGGCCTATGGGAACCCCTAAAACCCCAATGAGAGAGGATGTGACCGAGCAGTCGGCGCGTGTGAACGCAGCGGCAGCGCAGCTTCTTCAGTTCCGGAAGGCTCCTGCTAAGACACAGCCTTGAACCCTTAGGATTCTAGGTAGGCCCTTGGGACATTTTATACAATTGTTCCCTTATTGGGCTTAGTAGGGCCCTATTTAAGAATATTTGTCAGAGGCTTTGAAGGGCCAACCTAGGATTTACATGGGTTTTAGAGCTCAGAGTCGATGGAGAACAAGGGTGTCACAGACTTTGGAGAGGTATTGCCCCAAAGGGTCCTATGTACTGTTATGGGGAATAATTCCCCAAAATATAATAGTAATTCCTAGTATAGGAGCCCTCCATTCTACTATATTGGTACTTTGGACCCTTTGGGTGCAACATTGAACTTCAGCTGTTGCTTTAAATCCTGCATTACCCATCATAAGGAATATCCCATACTTCCCAGATTTTGGGGTCCTTAAGGTAATGCAGGATTTAGATCATCAACCCCTAAACCCTAAACCCTAGACCCTAAACCCTAAACCGTAGTTTGTCAGAGCGGGGCTCGATGATGACACATCGCAGGATTATGCTGAACTGCAGGGCGGCATATGGGAGTTTCCGAAAATTAGGGGTACCTTATTTGGGGTCCTTATAATAAGGATCCTATTATTTGGGGTACTATATTAGGGTCCCCTAATTTTCGGAAACTCCCATATTGAATCCTCACACAAGCTGAACAGACATCCCCACTCTGCTGGAATCCCTGAGCCCTAAATCGCGGCCCCAATCCAATGGTCCCTAGTGATCCTACACCCAAAGCCCAAAACTTCAAAGTCACGAAGCCCAAAGCGCAACACCCTAAGCCCCACCTTGAAACCCAGAACCCATAACCCTAAAACAGATAATTAACCACACAACCAAAAAATCAACAAATCTGTGAACCTCAAACCCTAAACCCTAAAGCGCTAAACGGGAGGCTCACGTTGCGCGAAAGAAGGCTGCACAGAGATACGAAGCCGAGGCTTCGGCGGCAAAGAAGTGCACCTGTTGACGATTCACGCGCATTCAGTGTGGGTGTTGTCAATATCCGCATACTTGCGTTTTTGTTCATATTCTTTCAGAATCCTTGTCCAAGTCCACGAGACTATCATATGGGTGGTTGTCAAAATTATAGTCCCTTTTTGGGTACCCTAAATAGCGGGTGCCGTACTATAATAGGGACCTAATTTTGACAACCACCCATATCCTTAAACATCCTTAGTCTAACTCTTGAGGCCCTTACCCTATAATGAGCTATATTAAGGGTATATACCTAGGGGTCCTAAGTAAGGGTCCCTCCTTTTACCCTTGGAATTATTTAGGCCCTTACCCTGGAAGGGTCCCGGAGGCAAGGCTTGGGATTGCGGTGTTGGGCGGTGGGTGCGTAGGTGTGGCACTTGACTCCCATAGGGCGTGTACCAGCATTTTTGTCCTCCGTGCATGTGCAACTTTGTAGACTTATGGAACTGGTGCTTGAGTGAGGATTATTTTAGAGTCCATGTTGTTCTTAATGCACAAAGCTTTGGACGAGAATTTTGCTACCGGCGATTAAGATGGATCGTACTAAGTACGGATATATCCCAATGCGGTAGCCCACCCCCAGTCACTCCCTGTTTCTTTCCTTGATCGGAACGAATCATTGTCATGCGCTTGGCCTATATGTCACCATGTCACCCCTTAGTGCCCGAATTTTAGCGTAAGGGTTGGGCCCTGAACAAGTGCTTCGACTATTCCTATATCTAGTCGGTTTATAGTTTTGCTACAAGCCCAAGTGTGCCCCAAAACTCTGTTGAAGTTGTCTTGGTCGCCATAGTAAACCGTAAACCCAAATCCCCTGAAACCCTGACTGCAGAACCCGTACAGAGCCCTGAAAGGAACCCGCTCTGTAGCATCCTTACTGATTCCGTTGAGATTCCCTAAGGGCCCCTCAGCTTACACCCTAAACGACTAAACCTGCAGCTTAAAACCGTGAAGCCCAAGAATCCCCTAAATTCGAAATCCTAAACAAAAAACTCTAAACCCGCTTTTGAGAATCCCCTAAGCCAAGGAAAGCAAAGTCTCGGAGCTGGAGAAGGCCCAAAAAAACAGAGTTTGACGGGCTCGCCAGGGGTTCGATCAACTTATGACCCGGGGGGCTGACCCGGGGCTTTAAGGTTTAGAGGGTTTCGGTCAACTTATCATCCGGGGTGAGGACGTAGACACGGACCCGGGGGAAGGCAGCATGTATTGCTCATAGCGAGGCGGGCCTCGCTACAGGGGTTTCTTGGCGTGCCTTCAAGTTGCACCTGTCTAGGACGAAAGATTTGAGGATTCGCGCGGCGTGGAGTTTTCCGACTTTATGAGCGTGTAGCTCTTTGGGTGCATGGCGGTGTTTTGTGATGTAGAACTGGGGCCCATCGCGACCAGTGGTGTGGAATCCAGGACACCTTAATATGGCGTGCGCATTTAGAACAGCGTGTAGGCGGCATCTGTACTAAAGCTACTCTCGGGAACCTCAAGGAAAGCTTTCCCAGCACTTCAGACCCCTTTTGTTGGTAACCTGAGGTTGCGGATCTTTAGCCTTAGGATTCAGCTCAGTGGCGTCATCGGGCACGACGCATACCGCTTTGTGGCTTTGCAAGCCGAGGCCCGACTGATGGTGCCATCTCGCGTGTTTGCTTGGCCCAAGCAAGAGTGCATAAACCATCGCATGCGTGTAGAAACAGCTAGCCATGGCTGTCCATGATGTGTTCGGTGGGCCGAGCACGTTTGGCAACCTGCCTGCGTCTTCGCAGGCATGGTTCTGCGTTTCCCGTGCCATCCTTGCGCTTTGCAGAACGGCTATATGGGGACGCGAAGTACCGGCAAGTGCTTCCCTTACAAGCAGGCTGCACAGAAAGGGGGATTGCCCAAAAAACTGTCATCAGAAATCAAGGTTCGAGCTGCCCGTGCAGCAACCGTGGTTGAATGGGTGTACAGAAAAGCACCTGCCGGATGCTCATGCTCTGTGTTGAGGGCCTTTTTTGCAGTGTTTCCGGTCGAAGGCTCGGGCTTTCGGGGTTTTTAGAACTTTGGGCAACTAGGGTTGAGGGCTTCGAGTTTCGGGTTCAGTGGTTTAGGGTTCTTGGGTTCCAGGGTGTGGGCAATTAGCTTTAAGGGCTTCGAGTTTGGGGTGTAGTGGTTTAGGGGTTTTGGAGTTCCTGGGAATTTAGGGTTTAGGGGTTGCAAGACACTCACTTCGAATCGGAAGCCCAAGTTTAGGGATGCTGCCTTTTGGAGCATGGCAATTGACGAACCCTAAAACCTAAACCCCTAAACCCCTAAACCATAAACCCTAAACCCCCAAACCCCTAACACCTAAACCCCAAACCGCTAAACCCTAAACCCCTAAACCCCTAGCCCCTAAACCCCAAACCCCTAGACCCTAAACCCTAAACCTGAAACCCTAAACCCTAAAACCACAATGCAGGGTTGCAGGACTCTCAGCATTCGGCAAACCCGAAAACATAGAACCCTAGAGGCCCGAAAGCCTAGCCTCAAACCCGGAAAACCCTGCCAGCACCCCAGAGCCGTATAAGTTTTAAGGCCCTAGAGCCTACGCACTACGTAGAACCGTAGAGGCCTGCAATCCTGAAAGCCCATATAAGCCCTAGCCCCAGAATCCTGGGGCGCTGCAGGCCCCCAACCCAAAGCCCTACAGAACCCCACAGCTTACCCTAAGGCCCCATAGTAGTTCTTTTTTGTGGTTCATATATAGAATCCTGTAAGGTAATCCCCAAAAGAACCTACTATGCAGCCTACCTAGAGGCTCATGCCCTACCCCTTTCTTAGGGCGCCTACTTTTAAGAAAACATATCCTAACCATCAAACTGGGTATCCTAAAAAAGGGGTAGGGTATGAGCCTCTAGGTATGGGTAGAGCGTTTTAGAAGCCCTGCCTCGCACCGGCGCATCTCATTTCCGCAGGCCGTCGCGGAGCTCGAAGATGAGGTCGGAGTATTTCCCAAAATTAGGGGTACCTTTAAAGGGATCCATAAGGGTTCCTTTACAGGGGTCAATAGAGGGTTCTATACAGGGTTTGGGGTTTAGAGTTTCCGAAAATTAGGGGTACTGTACCATGTTTTGGGGCACTTGAAAATATGGATCCTGCTATTAAGGGTACTATATTATTAGGGGAGTGTAGAGCCTTGTACCCCAAGGGTCCAAGTACCTAATAATCAGATACTCCCCAAAATCCGATCCTACACAACTACTATCCTAAAACCGAGTACCTGCTTCTTGGGGCCTTTGCACCCTAAGGGTGTAGATCTCCTACTTAAAGTCTTATGTCCCGCTGTATAAGAGGGTTGAGGGTAAGCCTCATAGAACTCTCATGACCCTTGCTCAACCGGCTTTATGAGGTTTAGGCTACAATCTTGTATAGGAGGTCTCATGGAGTACTGCATGTTATAGAAGCCTTCATAGACCCTAAGAGAGTATGTGACAGTGTCTATACTTTTTGTTGGGTCTAGCCAGGGGCTGTTATTGTTTCTGCAGCTTCCGGGTGTAGGGTTTCAAACGTAGGGTTTGGATGTTAAAGTTTAGGGGCAAGGTGTGGGGTTTAGGGTTTTGAGTTTAGGGTCATGGTTTGGTTTTGCCTTCAGAGCTTTCGGGGTCTGGGGGTTTGGGGTTTAGTGTTTCGGTATCGGATCAGGAATGGCTTTCATGGCGTTCTTAGGACGGTTTGCAATTAATGGTATGCCCGATGGTGCGTGGGTAGTTGGGATTGTGCTAATGTTTGTATCAGTGGCCCTTTGTGTGAATGGGCCAAACGGTTCCGTACCCGAAAGCCCCGTGAAGGAACGTCTCTGGTCTTGCAAATCAAATCAGTAAGGCCCCTGGTTGCGTCCCTATGATAGAAAACCCAACCATGATCTTCAAGCATCCAGTTGGGCGCTGCTCTTGCAGAACATCCGAGCAACGTGAGTGCTTATGTTCGAAACTCAAATGGTAATGTGCGCGAACGCACATCAACGAATGTACTAGAAGGCCACATTCTGGAAATCAAAAGCCCTTGGCCCGAAATCCTGAACCGCCAAAGCCATCACCACCAGACCGCAGAACCCGTAAAGCCCCAAAAAGACAAAGCCAGTTATCGTATCCTTATAGCATCCTGTATCGTAACCCTCATTAATTATAACGGAACCACGGGAGGTCTCGATCCTAAGCCCTAGTCCCTGTTTACAGAAACCCTGACTTAGAGCAATCCTTCTAGATTTCCTGTTGAACCTTAAGCCGTATAAGCTACATCCTAAAACCTAAACCCTATAAATCAACCTTAAACGCCCAAGCCCTAAACCTCAAAAACGTAAATTCTAAACCCCAAAAGAAACACCCCTAAAACCTCGCTTGAAGCCTTCTTGGAGTCTCCGGCCTTCAGGCCACGGGCTTTCTGGAAGGAGATCTCCCCGAAGAGGCCCGATCCGGGCTCTTCCTCTTTTTAGGTTTTTTTTGGGGGTTAGGGGCTTAGGGTTCCGGGCTTCCGGGCTTCGCGGGGGTTCGTATATAGTTTGTGTGAGGGATTTAGGGATTTCTGGGTGTTTTTGCATGTGTTTGGGGCTTGTGCAGTCGATTATGCCCAGTTCGTTCCTCCTCTGTTCAAGTGTTATTTAGCTTTTCGGGTTTGAGGAGTGTGAAGGCGATGGTTCTTGTTGTAAAGGATCCAGAGTTTTTTGGCCCAATCCGCATTCTAGGATTCAGTCTTTCATTTATCCAAGCATCTGGCCGTGACCAGACCAATCAACACCTACCTGCAACTTCAGACATCACCGACACAAACACCGAAAGAGTGGAACATCACTTCATTCTGGCGAAGATGAAAAGACCTTCAGGTTCAGCCACGGCCACTTCATACGTTGCAGCAAGGACGGCTGCACTCGTACGTCCAGCTGCAAGAACTCGCGACACTCCTTGGCCAGAAAGGCAGTGCAGCTTGATCGCTGCCGTGTCTTGCGAAAAGACTGCAATGTGATCATGTTCTGTTGCAAACAGCACCTCGAAGACTGCCAAAAGATTGCGAAGAAGGCAGAATCCAAATCACGGACTGATGAGGCACTGAACGCTGAACTCTGGCGCTATGCGACAGCGGCTTTCCATGGGCCGGAGTCCTCATCCTGGTCCAGCTTTGTCTGGGGGACCGAGCCGATTGCAGCCAGTCCTGCAGGGTCTCATGGCTGGTCAAGGTTCTTTCTACGGGAGCGGATGTTGCCGGTTTTCTTGCCATATGCATTCCTGACAATCTGAACGGCAAGACTGTTGGCGGGCAGCGGCCTTTGGACAAGTCTTCTGCACGATTGCTTCGCGATTGGGTAGAGAAGGAGCCTCTTAGGGGAGCCAAGGGCAGCCAGTGGCCACTAAAGAATCAAGACTTTAGCCCTCCAGATGCGTGCCTGTTCCTGGGCTATGGCTTTGCTGCGGCATCTAGATCTGCAGGGCTTTCGGGTTCTGGATTTTTACTTAACCGTACACAGATTTAGTGCCTGTTTTTCTATCTTTTTACTGATCAAGACATGCTCGTTCTGGTTCAGAAGCCCTGCTTTCCTTATGCCCCTCAATGTTTAATTCCACGGGTGTAAGGCTTAGGTAAGATTTAAGGTTTAGGGTTGAAGGTTTCGCGTTTTGGGGGTTGATGGGATTAGGGTCATAGGGTCCGAGCCCTCATCTTGCAAAACCTGGACCCGGGGCTCAATCTCTCTGTTGCTGCTCTGTGGCAGTCCAGATTGCCCCAAAGCGGGAGAAGCCCACGTAATTACCAATACTATTGGTTCCTAACGTAGCTCGTCTAATCTTCCCAAAACCCTGTTGCATGGCCCTCATACTGGGCTGCGGACAAGTTGCCCTCTTTCCTTGCTCCGTTTCCTGCACTGCATGCCCGTTCAGGTTTGTGTTCGAGGGTGTCGATGTTCTGCATAAGCTGCGCGGATTGCTTAAGCCCTAATGTCACAGAACCTTGCTGAATACGCCCCGTTTCTCTAGGAGCCCCTATTATTTTCATCAGAAAAGGGGAGCTATTAGTCAGGGGTCCAAATTAAACTCTTAAGCCATAAACCGAGCCCAAGGTTCTAGGGCTGAAACCTAAGACAAGAAGGAGCTTTCGCTGCGGTCCGGTGAAGCCAGTGCCAAGGCGAGGTTTGGGGTTCCCGGGTCGAAGTTTTGAGGGTTCAGGTTACAAAACCCTAAACCCCGAACCCTGAACCAGTACGCCAAGCATTAAACCCTGAGCAAGGCTTCGGGCTTAAAGCTGACCTTGAGGCCTCATCACGTGAACTCGTCTGGTTCCTAAAAAGCTCGGATTTACGGCAACGGCCCTAGATTGATCCCACAAACCTAAACC